GAAATTTCAGCCCCCCCCCCCCTGTACAAATTTAGGTATGTATAGTTGAAATTCATAAATTAATTTTCATTTCTCAGTAGATTGTTAACACTTTTCACAAAAAAATATTATTTTGAAAACTAGATGACTGAATCACTGAAGTGTGCTGCACTAAAGTGCTTGGACTGATCAGTTCAAGAGTCAGAGTTAAACTGAGCTGAGACTGAGAGCTTCTGAAAGTCCGGATGATATTATTATGGTTGCACGAGGTTGCGTGACGCCATCTTTATTACGGGTATAAAGTTACAGAGTACAATTGGCGGATTTGTCCGAGATTATTTCAGAATTCGCGGATTTCTAAAATATTTTCTTTATTTTGTGTAAATTTAACAGTTAATATGATTAATAAGGATTGAGGGTATCCTTAAAAATTGTAAATTGAATAAAAGGTTTTTTTTTTAAATAAAATTTATTTTACATTTTATCCACATATTAAATATATATTCTGTTATTGTAACTTTATCCCTTTCTACAAAAGAATATGATTTTATATTAATGCATTTTTATCTTATAGAATATCTACAGGATCATCCACTTTCCTGATGGCATAATTTCAACAATTTGTGGTTTAAGATTTTTTGGTCTTGTGCATAAAATATAGTCTTTAATAATATGATATAATAGACCACATTGTAATAGGTGAATTGAACAAGTGTACGAAATTAACCAGGAATAAAAAAAAAATTCCGAGTCTCTTTGAAGTCCATTCGTTTAAAATGTTCCTGACATGGTTAATTTTTAAACTCTTATTTTTCATAATGATTTTATTTTTGAACCAATTTAAATCGATTCAGAACTTCAGATCACTCAAAAATGATCAAATCTGGGAACCTGGTTTTAATTTTTTATGTTTTCTAAAGAAATCTTGCTCTTTCTGTTTAAATATTTTATGACTCGATTTGTTGACAATTGACAACATCCGTATTGCGTACTTTTTATACCTATGTAATTAGTTTAGTTTTAAAGAAGGTCTTTAAAACTTAGCCTAAATTTAAGAATTAGTCTATATGTTACATTAGTAAATATATGAATCTAAATCATGGCAAGAAGCCTTCAATTTTATGACACTTTTGTGTAAATTCTTTTCTTTTGTGGGTTCCAAAAATGGTGTTGGTTTTTCAGACTCATTTACCATAATAACCTAAACTTTTTTGAACAAAAGTACATCTATATATCAATAAATAGTATAATTTCCCTACTAACCGGAAAGCCTATAAGTACGTATGACATTTGTTGATATGCATATTTTTAAGTTTTGTATACGAAATACGTATTTTTGTAACCATTTCCCTGGTAAAAAAACGTATTTTATATCTGTAAAAATATGTTTATGACAAACGTAAAAATGCGTAGATAAAAAGCCTAAAAATCCAATGAGTCAGCAATTTTTAGGGTTTTCCTATTGCGTAGAGTTAGGTTTGAAAAAACATTTCTTACTTTTTTTTGCAATTAATAGGTTTTACCTATACGTAAAAATACGTATTTTTAAAGCATATTCAAGTTCTAAAACCAAAATGTTAAGAAGTTGACTATAATTGTGAATGCACATTGTTCCTTCATATCTATACAATTAATTCCACATATTTATTAAATACATAAATAGATATCAATTATTTTCAATCCAATCCAATATACTTCTACACAAATTCACACCATCATCATTCCTTCATCTGTATCCATCTAAATCAACATTCATATCTGAGTTTTGTCTGCATCTTCAAGAATTATGTGTTCAATATCTGTTATACTTCCTTCATATAACTTCTATTTTAAAAAAAAATCGAGAATTTATTGAGATTGATCATCAATTTACTCCAAAATTATAGAAATTTACAACATTTTATTTACCAAAATGTTTGCATTAAATTTCTTACTTAACTCTTGAGAAATCATAAAATATTTGTAAATTCTAAGCTTAGTAAAATATAGCTTGGTATAAAATTTACGAAAATATACGTATTTTTAGATTTGCATGAAACTTATAAACACTAAAAAATTTACAAGTAAACAAAATAACGGAAAAACATGTAAACCGTCAAATAAAAACCTAAAAACTTTTAAAAAAATTACTATAGTAAAGAGTATATGCAATTATTCGTAAAAATTAGCTTAAGATTTACGAAAAATAAACATATTTTTAGGTTTGCCTCAAACTTTTAAGCACGAAAAAATACAATTTTTCAAGTTAACAAAAAGTAAAAAATCTATGCAATTATTCGTAAAAATAGGTCTCTGGAATTTTTTTTTACATGAATATACCTAAAAATAATAAATATGTAATTGAGAGGCTTTAGTTTCAACTAATTTTGTTTAGCGTTTTAACTATTTTTAAGAGCAATTTAATTAATCTAAAATGCATTTATTTAAAAAGCCCTTGAAAAATTATTGTAGAAACACCATTTAGGTGAAGGTTCCGATTTGGCCGTCAATTTTTTAATAGAGCTAGCCTAGGGTCTCCCTAACCATTACGATTAAAGGTATATTTTTTGTAATGAGCTGGTCTTGAAAAGTTGGACTACAGGGATGTATCACATTCCCCAAGGGCAAAATAATTGGAGGGGATCAAAATAGAAAGGGACCTGTCCTCTCGGTTTAATGTCCTAGAAGTGAATAATATGCCTTTAAAAATTTTAGGTGGGGATAAAAATTTCGCAAAAAATTCAATTATATATACCTTCCCCCCGGCCCACCCGGAAAATTTCAGGGAAGGACTAAATTGCATTCTTGTATACCAATCTTGGCAACAAGGAAATGGGGAGATGCACTGTTTTAGCAAGAATGTAAATTGCACTAATCTTTGTAGTAATGTATATAATAGTCTTCTTTGGTTGTAAATTGCCCTTTTCCTTGCATTCCCCCCCCCCCCCAAATTTAAACCCTAAACCCCCCTTGATTGAACTTTATTTGTGAAAAGGAAAGTTGGTTAAAACGAATTGTTGTTAAATCAATCAATTAGATCAATAGTAGTTCTATTGATATGTCACTTTTTAAAAATATTTTTAAGACGACATTTAAAAGCTTATTCCAACTTTTCCAGCGCAGATCCCACGTTACTTTTTCAATCATATTTATTTGTTTTTGTTATTTCGCGCGGAATTGGAAAATATCCATTTCAATCCGTTGAAAGAGGGGCTAGTTCTGAAAACTGAATTTAATTGTTTAGACAAGGCGTATTGGACCCCTCCCCTATACCTGCAATTGTGTAATGCAACTTATATATTACTCGCATGTTAAGTCCAATTCTCTTAGCCGCTCAGCTCCGCAGCCCTCGGCCAAGAACACAAATGTTAAGTTCGTTCTGCAAGGGGCTTTTGTTGTTATTGATATCTCTTAATCCATTAAATTAGAGAGCAATTTGCGGGTCTGTCCTAGTATACGATTTTTGGACCCTGACAGACCCAAAAATACTTATGATAATTACTTTAACGATTTTTCAGGGAAAGGAAAGATGTCTCCCAGTAAACGAAGTAAAGTTGTCGACGATGATGATAATGGGGTAATTTTATTCCAAATTTATTAATTAGTCAAGCATTTGTTAAAAACTACCATGGTGCTTAACTTTTAAATGTTAAAAAACAACAAATTAGCAAAAATTCCACAATTTGTATCCGGATCCATTTTTTTCCCGTACGGATCCTTTACTAGGAAACTACCAAGGATAAAAATGAAACCATGATGAGAGCCATGATAACAAAGAACATTTTTAAGATGCCTTTTTACGAATATAAACTAATATTTTGTTCAGGATGATGGGGTGGAGGTGCAGAGTGATCAAAAGAAGAGAGTTGTAAGAAACAAACTCCGGGATATTTATGAGAAAATCGAGGAACAATTTAATAATACACACACAAAAATAAATCGGCCTAGTTCCACAATTTTTAACTAATACTAAATTTTGTCTGCACCCCCTTATAACCATTAAATAACCCCTGTATTGGCAACGCATATGATCGTGATATACAGCAAATTCACAACACTTTTATACCATTTAAAAACTTAACAGTAGACTCCGGTATTTCCGAGAGGTCGCAACTTTTGTATTTTTAATCCCTTAGAGAGCTCAATCCGTAGATATTGTTGCCCGGCAGATTAAGTAACTTCCCTTAAGATATCTTGATCAATGACCAAATATATTTTCTTAATATATTTCTTTGTTGTGATTAATAGATTAAGGGTTTAATTAAAAGTTTCCGCTTGGGATATACTTATTACTTCAGGTTTTTTAGATAAGCGTTTTCTTTATTCAAGTTTCGAACTCAATTCTTAAAATTCTAGAATTTATTTTTAAAGGAATTGAGTCTTCGCCACAAAATCAAAGCTATTTAATCCCTACAAATTTACAACCTGATATTTCAAACTTAGAATATTTTATCTTGCAGAATTCATAGTTTGATATATCTAAGGTCGATTACATTTGGATGCAAGGATATAGGGATTAGAAATCTTGATTCTTTTTACTTTTGTCAATGGGATTATGAATTGATAGGAATGCCAAGCGAAAGATCAAGTAGACCCCGAGGAGCTGAACTCCATAATGCAGGAGGCTCAAGGGGTTATCCAGGAGGTTCAAGGAACTCAGGAGGCTATAGAGGACGCAAAAATGTTCACATCACTGATCAAGCTTCTCGCTAAATACAGTCGGGACACGTCGGCCAATGAGAGAAAGTTTGTGGTCGCAGACTACAGCGCAAACATTGCTCGTTTGCTCAGTGCTAATTCTTCAGGCAAGACATGAGATTCAATCTTAGAAAGTAATTTTTTGTTCAGTATGATTGTTCAGTATGATTGTTCAGTATGATTGTTCAGTATGTTTGTTCAGTATGTTTGTTCAGTATGTTTGTTCAGTATGATTGTTCACAATGTTTGTTCAGTATGATTGTTCACTATGTTTGTTCAGTATGATTGTTCACTATGTTTGTTTAGTATGTTTGTTCAGTATGTTTGTTCAGTATGTTTGTTCAGTATGATTGTTCAGTATGTTTCTTCAGTATGTTTGTTCACATGTTTGTTCAGTATGATTGTTCAGTATGTTTGTTCAGTATGTTTGTTCAGTTTGTTTGCGCGGAGCGGCAGATTTTTAAGAAAGTTTTTTATTCTAAACTGGGAAATATATTTATATAAAAAATGCTATCAATATGAGGAACAGATAAATTAACTTTTTTACAACAATCAATCAATCAACGCCGAAATCAAGGGTTAACTTAAAATGCAAATGTTATCGACAAAATTAACTTTCTCTAGTCAATACTATCCAGTAAGGGGGGAGAAGTAGGAGGAGCAAAAATATATTTTTTTAAAATAAATAAATTATTCCATCAAAATGTCTGAAAAATTTGCGTTTGTCTTTAATTTTTAAAATTTTGAATTAAGTTTTACGATTTCAAAAGCACATTATTAAGGCCCACATTGATTTATTGTTTTGTAAGAGAAGCATATCTTTGTAATGCCTTGTGATTTTGGAAATTATTCCTATTCCTTATACAAACTCTGAAGAGAAATAAGATTGAATTCACGCTGGGATTTCAGGGGATCATTTCAAGTTGAGTCGGAGCAATGTGGTGAGCCTGGGGGAACAAGTATCTTCTATCTTTAACCGTGCTCCAACTTTAAAGTTTGTGCTCGGTGCGCTTAACACAGAGGTAACTAGAATTATATACAAGTTATTACAGTAAACCGATTCACTGCGGCACCCTGAAAACTTTATCTGAACAATATTGTGGAGTGTAGAAGATATAGTCGTTTTCCTAACCTGGATGATTATTTTTGCTCATTTATTGTATTGAATTGAATAGGTGTGTAAATTCAAGTAATTAATTTCTTCCGGAAACTAAATGTTATCGTTTAAAGCCATTGATTAATTAAACCTTATCGTTACAAGTCTCCAATATATTGGGAAAAAATGCTATTGTGGTTTTATTTTATATTTTTAAGTGTTTTTAACTTTAACGTTTTGTATTTGCACAAAATACATGAAAAGTACTGTATACGTAATTTCAAGTGACCCAAATTGGTTGAGTGGCATATCCAAATCACACCGGTATTCTTTAAATCTTCGTCCGACCAAGAACGACATAAATAATCAAGTTTTCTTATTGCAAAAAATTCAATTCCTGGAGACTTGAAGTTGCGGTTCATTGATCATTGTCATTGATCATACAAAGGTACCTTTGTAATTCGGACACAGTAACTCACTCAACATGGAGTCACTTGAAATTAGTATTTAAGTCTTTTAATTTTTACGCATTTTTACAGATTGGTGAGGTGAAGGAGAGGCGTAAGGCGGTTGTTCGGCCGCGGGATAAAGTTTATGCAGCCACTAAAACCGCCATTGTCGATAAATCTCAGGCGTCGGAAGCGAAAACCGACAAATATGTTAGGCAAGGTTCTTCATATTGCACTGTTAACAGATTTGAAAATTTAAATTGAAGATAAAATTAAAACTTTGAAATGGGAGTTTATTTTGTAAACTGGCAAATAATTTTCAAAAATCAAGGTAAAAAAAATGAAAAATTGGCATCACCTTCGTGGATTTTCCCTCCTGATACTTTCTACATTTAACTTCCCTACAATTAACTTTTTTTCCCTTTAACTACAACCAAAATATCCAGGGGTGTATATTTTCTTTAAAAATCAAATTCCCCCCATATGAAATTTTTGTTCTCCAAAATGTTGAGGTTTGGGAAAATAAATGATTACCAGTTGAAATCAATTGAATTTATGTGCAAAAAATATCAAAAAGAAAATTAAAACTTGCTTTTTAAACAAAATTTTTTTTTCTTAAAGATATATTTCATTTTTATATGATCAACCCTTGTTCTGCAGGATGACTAAAAAATGTTTGGACGAGCTGTATTTGAAAAACAAGAAAACCCCGGTCTGCTATTTTTCTTTTGTTATTGACCCGGACCATTTTGGGAAAACAGTTGAAAACATGTTTCACGTCAGTTTTCTTGTAAAACAACGACAGACTGTATTATCAATCGGGGAAAATGGCCTCCCTGTTCTAGAACCCATCATAGGCAGGAAGGTAAAGCATGAAATAAAGAGTCTGACAGTTTTAATCGCAACTTTAAATTTTATGAAAAGTTGATTATTTTTTAACGGAAACTAGATGAAGCTTTCTTTTTTAAATAAAAAAATTAAAAAACTAATTATCCTAAACCTAAGTCAAATTATGATGCAATAAGTTGTAATACTAGAAAGTTTACGCCAGATTGATTGATTGTCCAGGAGGAGGAGGAAGAGAGTGATGTTGGAACGGACCAAGCTGTGATCAGTATCTCCTACACAGACTGGGTTGAGCTCAAGAACAATCTCAAAATCAAGAAGAAAACTATTAATTTAGAATTATGAATCTTTTAGAAACTTTTCAGAGTTTAAGAGTATGTGAAACTACTGGCATGGGTATATAGTTAAAATATCGCAATTTAATAGGAGGTTGGGCCATTTCATATATAGGACATTGCATAAACAGGACATTGCATAGACATGACATTTTATAGACAGAGAATATTTTTCATGGATAAATTAATTTACTTTCTTACAAGTAATCTTATCTAATAAATCATACCCAGCTCTTTCTGTACTATCTCTTATTTTTACTCCACATATTATTAATAGTTTTGCTTTTAATTTAACTGATAACATATTATATTTATATTGTTGATTTCTTGCAAGTCAAACTGATCACATTTTTAAAAATTGTTACACATTTTTTACATACCCAAAACTCTACATAGTCTCAGAAAAAAAAATTCTTTTGTCTATGAAATGTCCTGTCTATGAAAAATCTGCCCTGTCTATGAAAAGTCCTGTCTATGAATTTCTTTTTCTATGAAATGTCCTATCTATGAAATGTTTTCTATGAAATGTCCTATCTATAAAATGTCCTGTCTATGAAATGTCCTGTCTATGAAATGTCCTTTCTATAAATTGTCCTGTCTATGAAATGTCCTATCTATAAAATGTCCAGTTATGAAATGACCCAACACCATTATAAGATATCCCGACCTTGATTGTTGGGCGTTAGGCTCCTTGGGAACAATAGCTACAAAGAATCTTGACAATTTTGAGATTTTTCCTCACGTTTTTTGGGATCACGCAAGATATTGCCCTAATAAATTTTTTTCAATGGTTGTATTTATTTAAAATCTAAATTAGTGGTTTTTCCTCATCAAAACATTATTTTTCTTTTTAAATTTTGAATGTACCCAAATTTATCATAACTGTGATGTAGATTTAAAAAGAGAACTTGTGAATATAGTTTCAGAACTAAGATGCATGAGAAGGATCACGTGAACCTACCCTGGGTAGAGAAGTATCGTCCTAATGCACTCCAGGAGCTAATATCACACGAGGATATTATTTCCACTATAAGGTTCGACACCACACTATAATCAAATCTTGGGTGTATTTCCCCCACTCTGATCGGGGNTCCGGATCCAAGGGGTATAATATCAACCAAAAACTGCAAAAAAAAATTTTTTTACTCTTTAAACTCAACTCTGAACTTTTGAAATAAAAGAGATAATAAAAATTTCCTCATTTCTGAATGGTTCATAAAGTTTTAGGATAAAAATAAGCGAAAAAAAGTAAAACAAAAAATTTGAAAATTGTTTTTTGTTAAAAAAATTCAGTAAATCTCAAAGAAATGACCCGGATCCGGATTTGGATCCGGATCCATTTTTGTTCAGTGCGGATCCAGGATCCGGATCAAAATTAAATGGATCCTGAGCACTGATTTTTGTGAAGTACTATTTACGCTTTCTAACTTATTTATCGTTAATTGGCAAAATATCTAAAGTAAAACACAAAAAATAGATCCGGTCAAGCATCCTTTTCACAAGATTCCTGAATCCGCTTCAGAATTTAGAATTAATGCTCCGTTCTTTTGCTTCTCTCGAATGGACAGCAAGTGTAATATCAATCGACCCTCAATGCAAAAATGGAAATGCCCAATTTATAATGGTACCCTTGAGACCTTCATTTGATCAAAAATGTAGAAGATATTCTCGTTTTTTATAGCCTTAAAGGCGTTTATTTTTGATAATTATTATATTTTTTTTCTGCAGTAAATATACATTAGTAGAGAAATAATCGGCTGTTTTTAAAATTATTAAAATTAATCACTAATTCATATTTGATCAGACAAAGCTCAGATAAACTTTTTTAAAACTTTTATTTCGACTCATAATAACAATTTTTTAAGTTATCAACCTGATAAAGGCTGTTTTAAGCAAAACATTACAAATAATTTTAAGCAAATTGCGTACTGTTGATTTTAGTGAGTAATTTATACTTCACAGAAAATGTGAGAAGATTGGAAGAGTATTTTGTGGATCAGACATTACGCTTTCATTCCCTTTTAGAATTGACTTTTTTTGCTCGATTTTCGTGTGTAATGGGGGGGGGGTAATTCAGATAATAAATGATAATATTTCTGTAAATATTTTAGAACCTTCATCTCCCAGGAAAAGCTACCTCACCTACTATTCTATGGTCCACCAGGAACTGGAAAAACAAGGTATGAAAAAAAGGGACTGTTCAAAATTACAGTTCTTCTTAACACCTTATTGACCAAAAAACAGTTTTTAAGATGGTATAAAAACAATTTCTCGCAAAAATCAACGAAAATAGTCTTTTGAGGCCTTTTTTCCAAAAAACAGAGGAAAATATAAAAAATGTAGAAACTATATATATATATATATATTTATTTCAGTTTTTATTCATTTGTGCTTAAGCAAAGTTAATTAATTTTTATATATTTATTTCAGTACTATCCTGGCCTGTGCTAAAGAGTTGTATACGCCTAAAGAGTTCAGTTCAATGGTTCTTGAGTTAAATGCTTCTGATGATCGTGGAATCGGGATAGTCAGGGATAGATAGTACAACAAGACAAAAACAGTTTGACATTCTTTTGGGGGAATTTTAAAATGAGTTGCAGGAGTCAAAATTATAAAATAGTATCTGTGAAGTCGTAATCATTTATCTTACCATGTCTTATCTGGGTTGTACAAGGATATCCGAAATGGATGAAACTGTAAAGACGACCTGAAACTATTGAAATATAAGTCAAAATTACATATTTATTGATTCGACAAAGAAAGAAACAAGTTAACAGTTGCAGGGAATAAAAAATTAAAGGAAACAGACAGTATAAGTTCTGTACAGTCGTCTCTGAAGTCTTGTGGGTAACCTTGTGGGAAATTTTAACAATTTTCTCGACGCCTCTTAACAAGTTGCAAAATTCATCTGTAAATGATTTTTGGACACATATGACCTCTCGTGCAGTTAGAATAAATAAAAAAACAGTTAAATAACTTTTTATTTAAATTTTTCTAATTACTGTTTTTTTGAAGATATGGAGTTTGTAACTTTAATTTACCCCCCTTGATGTAAATGTGCTGAAACAATTTACAACAGTGAAAAAGATAAGTTGCATCAAATAAATTGTTTGGCAGAAATCCACGAGAAATCCTGAATTCTTAAAAAATTTGTACTTCATATCTTATTTTACCCATTAAAGGATCTCTAAATTTTAATTAATGTATGCTTGATACTGATTCTTTTTTTTAATAAAAAGAAAGAATAATGTTAAAGGTCCACATAAAAAATGTTTGGATGACAACTTTATTTACTTAAGTTTAACCAATTTTTTTACGCAACTTCTTCCTTTGAGATAACAAGTGTACTATCTGTCGGATTTCAGGGGACAAATTATGAACTTTGCTTCTACCCGAACCTTCCTTAACAAGGGATACAAGCTCATTATTCTGGATGAGGCGGACTCAATGACTAATGATGCTCAAAATGCACTTCGTAGGTAGGTTCTACAGCTCCTACAGCTGATATGGAACACGACACTTCTAAATGGACTTCAACATGATTTTGTAAAGTTTGAATGGACTTACACGATTTTGTAAAGTTTAAATGGACTTCAACATGATTTTATAAAGTTTAAATAAACTTACATGATTTTGTAAAGTTTAAATGGACTTCAACATGATTTTGTAAAGTTTAAATGGACTTCAACATGATTTTGTAAAGTTTAAATGGACTTCAACACGATTTTGTAAAGTTTAAATGGACTTCAACATGATTTTGTAAAGTTTAAATGGACTTCAGCATGATTTTGTAAAGTTTAAATGGACTTACATGATTTTGTAAAGTTTAAATGGACTTACATGATTTTGTAAAGTTTAAATGGACTTCAACATGATTTTGTAAAGTTTAAATGGACTTCAACATGATTTTGTAAAGTTTAAATGGACCTTAACAATTTTTTTTTTTTTTTTTTTTTGACCCGAATTTAGTTCTGTGGTTTTGACCCCAACATGTTTATTAAAGTTAATATTAATCCTCGACATGTTTTTGCAAGGTTTTATTGACTCCGAAAAGTCATGGTAAAGTTAAATTTCCATTGATTCCAATTTGTCTGCGAGTAAATGATACATTCATTCACGCTAAAATTATTTTGTTAGTTTATAATGACCCCAACGGCCAGCATGTTTTTTTTTGTAAAATTAACACCCATGTTAAAATTATGTTGTCAGTTTTTATTGACCCCAACATGTTTTTTGTGAAGTTTAAATGTTAACGAATACGAATAATTGCAACAGAATAATTCGTCACTTTAAAAGTACATAGCGTCAAACGGCCAGAGGTTCCTTTTCTTTTCAATATCAAAAGTTACTATAAATCACGGATTCTCAATGACAATCCTAGTACAAGCCACTTCATTCTTGGATTAGTAAATTTATTTGGAGTCAAGGATTTGATTTTGGTTAATATTACAATGTGTAGGATTATGGAGAAGTATACTGAGAATGTGAGATTCTGCATGATTGGAAATTATTTGGGCAAAATTATTCCAGCTCTTCAATCCAGGTTGAGATTAATTCATTGATATAATTATTGATTGATTCGATTAGTGATTAATTAATTGATTTAGCAGGCGTATACTGGTTAGTTTGGTTGACGATTGATTGATTAATTGACTCGGCGTACACGGGTTCATTGGTTGATTGATAGATTAATGTATTAGTTGATTGATTGATTAGATGTAAACATTTGCGGTTTGGTCGATTGATGGATATATGGACATATTGGTTGGTTGGTTGATTATTTGATTGATTGATTGATTGAGTGATTGAGTGATTGATTGATTGCTTAGGTGTACACGATTCCGGTTTGGCCCCCTAGATTCTGCGCAGATAATGCCGCGTCTTGAATATGTTTGCAAGGTAATAACAAACTCGAAATAACAACGTCGAAGAATACCCCGTTTCAAACCTTTCCCTCTTTCTGGACACTATTAAGTCTTACATTCATTTATTTTTGATAATTAGCAGTTAAATAACCTCTTAAAACTGATTTTTGAAGAGGGGGTTCGGGAAAATAATATTCTATATGAGATAAATAACAGGTTTACCGATCTCATCCTCCATTACGCCTTCAATCCCTTTCAAGCCAAAAGTAGACCTTTTCGCAAATGTCTTTTTTGGCGATGAAATTCTGACAATGTCTGGAAGATTCCAGGATACCGTTTTAAATCGGGAATTGCTATCTTTGCATGATGGGTAACTTGAAATTACGCTTACATTCCCTTTTAAAGCCAAAAGCAGGCCTTTTTTAGCCACTTACATTTTTAGTATTATTTTTTTTGACGATTAAATTCTGACAGTTTATGGAAATTTTAAATTAGATTATTTGTATATTCAGGAGGAGAATGTGAATATTACTAGCGACGGTAAAGAAGCGCTTATCAAGCTGGCTCAGGGCGACATGAGGAAGGTCATCAACATACTACAATCATGTGCCATGGCATTTCCAGAGGTAATTTGGGTTTTAAATATTTTTCATAAAAATCTATCTTTTTTTCTTTAAAAAGTAATCCAAAATTTTGATCATAAGGTTACCGGGCGCTTCGCGTAGAATTTTTCTATTATTTATCTATCTTTAAGACACTGATCTTTCGCAAGCTTTTCTGACATTTTATAAAACAAGTTCGCAGAATTTCCTAATTAAATTGGAGGATTTACAGGTGAACGAGGACTCTGTATATACCTGTGTAGGGCATCCTCTGCCCTCTGATATAACAAATATTGTGAACTGGTCTCTCAACCTAGACTTCTCCTCAGCATTCAACAATATTCTTGAGCTTAAGACACTCAAGGGACTTAGTCTCCAGGTAAGGAGTTGAATTTTTTTAAATTAACAATTAAATAAAAAAGTATTATTCCTCTTTTTAGATTAAAAGAAATGACTTGGTTTTTAGAGCGGGGGGGGGTCAGGTGTAAGCGTATTTATTATAATAATTTAATTTTGTTGTTTTAATAAGCAAGCCCAATTGTTAAAACAGTTTTATTATTTTAGGATATTCTTACCGAGGTTCATTTGTTTGTTCACAAGATAGTGCTTCCAGCCTCTATTAGGTGAATATTACCGCATTCAAAAAGTTTACCATTGTTTTGACTGATTTTAGTGAAAAATTTTCTAGATGATTTTAATACATTTTTTTCATGATTTTTATGTTTTCTAATAAGATTAACACCATTCTTTGTCTTGTTCTTGGATTCGAAACACTAAGTACTTACAATTGAATATAGAAAACACGTTCAGTCCAAAAAAAAAACCCCGGTCTGAAGCTTCCAATTCTATTAATATACGCCTGAAGAAATTATTGTTAAAATATTAAAAGAAAAACGAAACGCGCAAATTGTAAGATTATAATTCTTAGAGGATTTGCTCACACTTTCAGAATTGATTATGTTAATTCTTATTTTTACTAGAACTAGGCTTTTAGGGCGCTTCGCGCCCATCTTCTATTTAAATTGTGAACATGTTCTTTTTGTTTACATTTTAAAACAAAGAAGAAAAAAATTTTGCGGATTTTTAACAAAAAATTCGCGAATTTTCAAGAATTTAATTTTTTTTACAAAATTACAAAATTAAAATCCTTTAAAACACATTTTTCAAAATTTTTATCATTCATAAACCTTCCCTGTTCTCAAGTGATGTCCCACAAAAAAATTTGGGCCCGATCCGTTCAGCCGTTTTGACGTTTATTGGATACAAACAAACAGACCGACAAAGCCAAATTTATATATAGATGATATGGCTGATAAATCTATTATCGATTCTACAATCTCAAGTGTAATAATTGATTATAATGCGTAGGAAGAAAGTGTAGCAATCAAAATTATTGTTATTTATTAAAAATATTGTATAATTTAATTATTCTCCGATTTATAAACTCTTGTATACAGGATCCATCTGCTGATAAAACTATCTGAACTGGAACAAAGATTAATGGCTGGAACTTCGGAACGTATTCAACTTGGAAGCTTTGTAGCAGCTTTTCAGGTAATAGAGGATATTTGAGGTCGTTTGTTGATATTTTAGGTTGATTGGTTGATTTGAAAGGTTTGTGGTTGATTTATAGAGGTTATTAGTAAATAGTAGAGGTCATTGGAGGATGCTAGGAGATTAAAGGTCATTAGAGGAAATTAAAGTTCATTATCGAGGGTTTATTTAAACCCATAGTAGCCGAATATTCCTAAGATTTGGCTTAAAAATAGCAATTTATTCTATTCAGAATTTTCGAGAAAAAAGTTCTGAAATGTTTAAAATATTATTGAAGTGATGTTTAAAAAATAAAAAGAGGATTCTTTTAATTTTTCATTTCTTTCGATTCCTTAATCCCGTTAAAAATTCCTCTAAACACATATTTGATTGTTTTTAAGGTGACCAGAGAAATGGTGAAGGCTGAGGATGATAATCGAGCCTAATTCTAACCAATCAATTGGGATCTTCGGACTGATATCAGTGATAAACAGATGAAATCAAATTCAGTTCAATCCAGTGCAGTTTAAAAAATCAATTTGAATCCCAGTGCTTTAATTGAATTCAAAATTGGGATCTTGATCAATCCATCTCAATCCAATCAATTGGAACATCAATTATCAATCTTAGAATCGAATGAGATTAATGATTGACTAAAACCAAAAGATTGTCAGCCTACTAAATCTAATCCGTGTGATCAGTTTGTTAAAGAGAAAAACACATCCAACTAAGAATGAGATATCACAAATGTGATTCCTAAAGCGCTTACTTCAGTTTTCAAAACAAATAGATAACATTGTTAAAAACATGTTTTCTCTTTTTTCAGATGAATTTGTTTAAAAATGTTGAAGAAAATATTCTCTTTCTTGGTGAGGGAAATTTCTCCTTCTCCGCTAATGTAGTCAGGAACGAAGAAATGTATTTTGAATAAAATTTGATAAAATTATTTTCACGAATTTTTATATGTTCAATTTTGGGTTGGAGGTACCCCTTTTCTAACTAATTTATTTGGTTAGATCTATTTTATGCCATAAAATTTACGTCCTTTCTACAAAGCATTCAATTTGATCTCTAAAATAATAATAAAAAACAGTTTTGTATTGAGAACCAAAAAACTGTGGAATTTAGGAGACGATATTACATCAGTACTTAACTTTGATGTTGTTACAAAGTGAATAGTGATACTATCTATAACTTATTAAATCAATTATCAAGTCAACGGGGTCTCGAATCTAAACTATAGTGATACTATTAACTTATTAAGTCAATTATTAAGTCAACGGGGTCTTGAATCTAAACTATAGTGATACTATTAACTTATTAAGTCAATTATTAAGTCAACGGGGTCTTGAGTCAAAAACTCGTCTTCCTATTCCAGAGTTTTCTGGTTTTCACTTTAAAAGCTTTTTGTAAATGATGTAATGTCCAATAAAATTTGTTCATTTTTTTTAACCATATTGCACACTGAGTAACAAACGGCCTGAGAAAGATTTGTAAATTATGGTCGGGACAACGTTAATAAATAAAAAAATTATATTTGTTCCTGATTTTTTTTTATTACATGAACAATTGTTCACAATTTTTTTCTAATAAAAGTTTATTGTGAGTTCAATTAACTTTTTTCCACTTCACTTTACTTTTTTCCACTTTAATTTACTTTTTTCCACTTCAATTTACTTTTTCCACTTAAATTAACTTGTTTCCACTTCAATTAACTTTTTTTCCACTTCAATTAACTTTTTTCCACTTCAATTAACTTTTTTCCACTCTAATTTACTTTTTTTCCACTTCAATTATTTTTTTTCCACTTCAATTAACTTTTTTCCACTTCAATTAACTTTTTTTCCACTCTAATTTACTTTTTTTCCACTTCAATTAACTTTTTTCCACTTCAATTAACTTTTTTTCACTTCAATTTAATTTTTTTTCCACTTCAATTAACTTTTTTCCACTTCAATTAACTTTTTTTCACTTCAATTTACTTTTTTTCACATGCGGATTGTCTCTTAATTTCCAACTTTCATGTAAATTTTAATTTTAAATTTTAATCATTATTTTTATTATTATTACTATTGGTGAGCAATCTATGTGCCATTGTACTTACAGTTATATAATATTTTTTAAATTTTCTTCTCGCTGAAGGAATTTGGAAAAGTGTGACAGGAAGTTTAGTTGTTTTTATTCCACGTGCTACGAGGAAATTATTATATTTTCAATTTGATGAAAAAAGGATTTTATTTTAATTTTAAATTTTTTTGTTAACCAACCTTTGATGAAGAACTGAAAACCTGTTTGGTCGCATGGTTTATTTTAATATATCCCCCCACCCCCCGAAAATTAAACTAATACATTTCTATAATTTTAATTGCAAGATTTCGTGTCTGTTTTTAACTTTTTATACTTCAGAAAAAAATAACAAAAATTCGAAAGAAATTCTGAGGCGAAGCATATTTTGAAATGTCTTCTATTACAATTAGATTTTATCTAATAACAATTAAAAATTAGATTTTATCGAAATTTTTTTTTGATTTTATAAAACTTTTTTTTTAAAGGTGTTCATAATTTTGAATTTTTTTCTCACGGAAAAGTTTTTAAAAATTTGTTTCACACCTTCAAGTTCAAAATTGATTTATACCTCTAATTTTGGCTATTTTTTATCATAATTTTGATGTTACTAAATCTTGGAAAATTTTATTCTTTAAATATGATATTCTTTCCTAGGGAGTGGAGGGAAGTGAAAAAAAGGAGAAAAATATTAGCTTTCTTAAAGCACACAATGTTCAGGTTTTTTTTTCATTCTAAAGGAACGGTAGGCGTAATTTCGAATTATCTTCCTTTAATAGATCGGGGTGTCCGATTTTATACGATACCCTTTGTAACTTTGTCTGGTCTGAGATTAAGCAGCTGTAGATATTCTTTCTTTTTATGGCGGGAAATGTTAGTCTTTGAATCCGTGACCGTACAGTGTACAATCAATTTAATGTTATAATATCAAGGACATTTACGTCATTCTTACCCGAACTCAAGGTACTAATGCAAGGAAAGTTGTTTCAGAGGTGTACGCATTTTGTGTACTGCAGAGTACTGTCTCTGGGCGGTAATGTAAACACAAGACGGATGTCACAGCCTGACATGGAATCCATTTTTTTTATATAATCATAATATTCTGGTCATAGGAAACTATTATGTGAATTTTCAAAATTTAATGCTTTTAACCTCCTCGAATACTAAACGAACACTGATGAATCTATTCTTTTTTACAAATTCCTCCCAAAGAGAACTGGTTTCAATATGTATGCAGAGTATAAGCGACCGCAATTAACTTTCCTTGCATTAGTACCTTGCCCGGACTAAGGTTTAACTTGCACGTGTGAATAGAGTTTCCATTTATTTCCGCTGTTACAGGGTGTCCCACAAAACATGACAGTTGGTAAATAGTTTAGAATGTCTTCTTCCATAATTTGTTTTAAGTTGTTTAATACCAAAGATAATAATAAAAATATCATAAAGGAGTCATATTACCGTAAAATGAATTTCAAAGTAAAATATATTTGAGCAAAATATTTCTTAAACGAAATAAACTGTAAACAGCCTTTAATTTATAATACAGTGTATGGAAGAAGCCATTCAAAACTATTTACCAACTGTCACGTTTCGCGGGACACCCTCTAATAGCCAACAGTTTATCGTTCTAAACAACTTTAGAAAAAGTTCCGTAAGGCCCATGAAAATATACCGACAATCCTTGTGAAGTTTTCAGTTTAAAAAAAATGAATGAATGAACATAGAAAAATAAACTTTTAAAATTTAGGTTGTGTACAATGTAAACGCGACTCAACTACACACGGATATTAGACTCAACAAAAATTTGTACGATAAGGTTAATTTTGTCTTAGTAACTGACAATAAGTATTAAATTTTTGTCAATTTTTAGAAAATCAGAAGGGTTCTCATATGTATTTATATCATCCCGTATGCTTTACCGAAATGTTCATCAATAGTAATGTAAAATCAACTTTTACTTAAAATTTGATAACATTTATTTATTAGATAATATTTATGTTTCCTCATACTGGGGGAAAAATGAAAATTCACAAGAATAGAGAATTATTGTTTAACACTTTCAAAAGGAATCTTTTTTTTCAGTAGTATAAAATTTATTTACTGCATTTGTTAAAAGGTTGATATGTGGTTAATCTTTTGACTATTATATAGGACGTTTATATTTGGTAGATTGAAATCTTAATTCTTAAAGAACAACATGTCAGTTCACAATTTGGAAAAGCCGATTTATTTATTTATTTATGATTATTATTGTTATTGTAATCTCAGGTTTAAGAAGGAATGCCGACTTCAATTAAGGAATTGTCATGTTTCGTCGGACGAGGGAGGGGTGGCTGCTCTCAGTGTTTTGGAATTGCTTTTAGGGTATTGGAGTGCTCCCAGGGTTTTGGAGTGCTCCCAGGGTTTTGGAGGGCTTCCAGGGTTTTGGAGGGCTTCCAGGATTTTGGAGTGCTCCCAGGGTTTTGGAGTGCTCCCTTGGTTTTGGAATAGCTCCCAGGGTTTTGGAATAGCTCCCAGGGTTTTGGAGTGCTCCCAGGGCTTTGGAATAGCTCCCAGGATTTTGGAGTGCTCCCAGGATTTTGGAGTGCTCCCAGGGTTTTGGAATAGCTCCCAGGGTTTTGGAATAGCTCCCAGGGTTTTGGAATAGCTCCCAGGGTTTTGGAGTGCTCCCAGGATTTCGGAGTTGCTCCCAGGGTTTTGCAGTAAAATGTGAAAATTTATCCGACCTTTTCGGAAAAGTCCTTTAAAAGGGTACTTTAAAACAGGAAATTGAAAAAGGGCTCTGCTCCCCCTTTTTTACTGTCTTTGTTCAGATATTTTCAGGGGAAAAAATGGCTAATTTCAGTCCAGATAGCCTGTGGCGATCATATAGTTTTGGTTAGCCAAACTGTCGACATTTGTTTTATATTTGATTTTGATTTGATTTTTATTTGATTTTAATTTGATTTTAATGAATTAAAATCGAATCGAATCAAAACGAATCGAATAAAACCGAATCGAATCAAATCAAATCAAATCGAATCGAATCGATTTAAATTGATTTGAATGAAAAAAATGATATGAAGGTCAAGGTGGAACACCGTTTGATCCTGAACTAAGAAGGAAAGAGGACACATGGAGAATATTAGATTCAGCTCAGGTAATTAAGGAAACCAACGAGGGAGGGAAGGCAAACATTTTTTTCGTCTGCACCACACCTTTTTTCGACTGGGCGTTGCTCCTGTTTTTTTAGATTGATTTTTATGTCTTTTAAACTTTTTCACAGGGGTGTTAGATGTTTGTCCTTTACACTTTTTTATTGTTATTTTGCTTTGTTATTTGTGGTGTGGACGAAAAATGGTGGGGTATAGTTTCCGAAGAAGAAGGTTCTTCTGTTTGAGTCGTTTTTAACAATTTTCTCCTTAAAGATGCAACAGATAGAAGTAAGATAAGTGCAATCACCATCGAATATTTTTTCGTAAGCCTATACCCCTTTCTTTTTTTCGCGAACACTCTCTTTAAAAGCTTTGTCGTATCAAGAATTCATGAGATATAAGCCATGGGGTTTTCTTTTACTCAATAATATTTTACTTTGAAATCAATTTTACTATGACTGGCAAATAATATTTTTATTATTCTCTTTGGTATCAAACAACTTAACAAACTATTAAAAAAAAACATCTTAAACAATTTACCAACTTGTTTCGTGGGACACTCTATATCTGAGGGTTACGGCATCAGGTTTCAAAGATATAAGATTAAATAATTAGAGTTTTTTTTTTTTTACAAAAACTGGGTTGCCAGCTGCTTGAAAAGGATAATTACATAATTATAGTAGAAGTATAATTATAAATGTGAAACATGTTACAGGATAATGACCTTGCTTTAACAAATATTTTCAAATTTCCAGCAGATGAGTTTCAGGTAATACTTACTTTTAAGTCGTGGCATTAATTAGTCATTAATAGAAATTCACAAATTAACAAAAGATAAGAATCGAATAAACATTTCACTGCAGACTATACATATTACAGAAGGGAGAGGGTCAAACTTAAAGGAATTTTCTAGAACATCTTTGTGACCAATCTAAATTTGATTTTATGCAATATTGTCTGAAGTAATCGGAGTTGCCCGTGGAATTCAAAAAAATTAAAGAAATTTAATAAAAATATTAAGTTTGTTGGATACAGAAGCCTTCAAAAAGGATTTGATATTCAGGTTTCTAATTCATTAAATTATAATGTAGACACAGATTTGCAAAAGAATGCGAATTCATAATCCGATATTGCATTTTTATAATAAATTTTTTTTCTTATCCACCATAAAAATTCATATAAACGCCAAAAAAAATCCTTGTTACTGGGGGGAATGCATCTTTTTGAAGTTTTATCACAACTTCAGGAGTGTTTAACACCCAGCTCTGTGTGATATGTGAAGCATTTAGGAGATCGATTATTCTTAATTTGATTAAGAAAGATTCCGCTGTTAATTAAGTTCTTGGTGGTTTATTATTCTTAAAGGGACTATAAAGGAAAGATGAAAGGGGGTATAGGCATTTTAGGAGTTGATCGAGATCCATAAGAGTTCTATCTAATGTGTCTCCGTCTGTATCACGTGATAATGATACTGCACTGCCATTGGTGGGAGTTCTGGTCACGTGATACGGACAAATTTATTATATTTATTAAAAATGAGAAATTGCTTAATTCAAATAATAGTAGGAGCAACCCTAAGTTTTTCAGGCTCCTCTGAGATATCGTCGTTTTCAGATTGGTTGCGTATTTGCTGAATATGATCTGTTAAAACCTACGATTTTTATATTAAATTTTAAATATATAAATTTTCGTATAAATTTGACACAGTTTTACATCAATTTCTCGAGACAGGAACATGAGATAGAACTCATATTGGTCTCGATCAATTCCTAAAATGCGTAGGTTTTATCCTATACCCCCTTTCATTTTTCCTGTACAGTAACAGTGTACAGTCCCTTTAAAGGCTTTCAAAAAGGTTCCAAATTGATCCGAAATAAATTGAAACCTAGGAAATGACAGTGTACAGTTTTGTTCTCGGCAGTACACAATCTGGACAAAATCAATAATAATAGAAATAAGGCGAGAGGTTTAGAGTTTGGTTAGGCTTCATTGTGATATACTAGGTCATCTCAAAAACTAGTTTTATCGCATCATGGACAGGACGGCTGAGGAGAAGCGTACCGTAAACTTTCTGTTGTTTGTTTACAATAAAACTAGTCCTGTGGCCGAATTTAAAGAATTTTAGCGGCGGTTTAAATTCAAGCCGCGGTTTGAATATGGTTGGTTCCACTTAAAATTGTATCAAATGTTGCAAGATTTACGCCGGCGCTGAATTTAAACCGAGTTTTGGCGGATTTAAACCGCGGCTCAAATTCTTTAAATTCCATCTCTGGGAAGCTGTCTTAAAGGGACTGTTAGCGTAATTTCAATTTACCCTCTAAGGAAAGATGTTAATACCCGATTCACAACGGTACCCTTAAATACGTTGTCCTATCAAGTATGAATTAGATATACATATGTTTCAAATTTTAAAAACTGGTAATTTTCAACTGTGGGTTTTCTACGAAAGGGACTTGCGCATTTCTACTGCAGGAAAATATAAAGAAATTATTAGAATAAAACACTTAATACGTTAATTTAAAATATATGTAATCAAACAAACGTTTTTGCCCTCTCTTAGTTCTATACCTCTTTGGTCATAGAGCCCGAAACTTATGGCAAAGTAATGGAATTAAACCCGGTTTAATGAATGCGGTATTTGTAGATATGTAGATATTCAAAGGTTTGTCCTGACATATTATTCCATTTACTGTTTTTTCATGTAAATACTTGTTTTTATTTCTAAAATTAAAATGTACTAAAAATTAAAAACCCAGTAAAGAAAATTGAGAGTTTCTATCAACGATACTCTCTTTCCGGCCCTGTACATAATATTATTATACAGTGTACAATACTAGGATTCCGTTGTACATGTGTTAACTCTTCTACCAACTCCAGATTTTAATCCTCTTCTTGACTTAACTAGCCTCGACTTAAGCAATACATACTCGCCAAAAGATTCAAGGTATTTTTTATTAATTTTTATAAAACATATAAGAGTCCATATTAAAGAAGTCCAATCCGTAAAAACAAATTTAATTTTATTTTTGATCCTTTACATTATTTTTAACACTTTATTTACAGTTTATTTTAACCCTCTTAATGCTTATTTTAACCCTTTGTACAATTTATTTGAGCCTCTTGAAGTTTATTTTAACCCTCTTGAAGTTTATTTTAACCCTCTTGAAGTTTATTTTAACCCTCTTGAAGTTTATTTTAATCCTCTCGAAGTTTATTTTAACCCAGTTGACGTTTTTTTTAACCCTCTTTTTAACAATTTATTTGAGCCTCGAACTCTGTATTGACAAGAAGTAGTTAAACTTCTTCTCTAGTTTAGCAAGAGAGCACTAGAGATTAAGATTAACCCCAAAACTTCCTTCTATTAATTAAATCCGACCTCTATAGTTTGGAGGATGGTTGTGTCACTATCCAGCTGTATCCACTGACACACACACATCATGTCAGCTTCTGGACACAGACACCTGTCAGCATAGAACAAATACAAAAAGTTGCTGACACATTGTCAGGTAGTTATTAAACGTTAAAGGGGCTGTCTACGATTTTTAAGTTATCCTTGATCAAAAGAGTCACACACCCGATTCACAATGAGGGAGACCATATTTTCAATCTAAAAAATATAACATTCTTACAATGGGTTCTTTATAAAAGTGATTTGTGCAGCAAGACAAGGTTGTAAATGTAGAAAATTAATGTCTTTCAAAACGTAAATAAAAGTTTAAAATTTGATCTATTTCTTGCTTCTAAGGAAACTTTACCTTATTTTTTGGCAAGATTCCTAAAAAATGTTGTATGAAATAATAAAATAATATTGTTATTTTTAATTTTTTTTTGTAACTATATGTTGCATTAAGCTGGGTTGGTGAGAAGTATAGTTGAACTTGAACGGTTTACTCCCAGTGCAACAGAACCAAGGTTAGTCTTAATTCAGTGCCTAGCATTCATTTAATTTATTTCCTCATCAAAACCTGGATCCGCCTTGAAAAAATGTTAATCCGGATCCGGAAACAGGTTATCAGAATATAAAGCGTTTTTTTATTTAAGAAATTTTTCAATATTTGGTTTTGCTTCTTTAGCTTATGAAACTTAATAGACCATTTGGAGAATAGGGAGGTTTTTTAATAATCTCTCATTATTTAACAATTTGTGTTTTGATAACAAAACATTTATATAACAGGTAATGGCTGATATTTTGTGACTTGGATTAAAAACCTTACCCGATTTGAATAAAAACTCAAATTTAAAACAAGCTAGCCTTGGGAATGGAGAGGGTTCCCTGAACGTTTCAGCCTGAAAGTCTCGGGTTCAAGTGTGTAGGTAAGACTTGCAAGACCCGAACTGAAAACTTTAGAATGGTGGATATCGGGATTAATGCTTGATCCTCTCTTTTTGATTATCTCAAGATTAACATAATCTTGCAAGATTATATTAAAAGTGTATGAAAAACTGTAATCATCTGAGAAACTGTAGCAGCCAATCAGAGAAAAGCGGGCAACCAATGAGAGAACAGAAATATTCTCATTGGAGAAAACAATTAACGGATATCCAAGGAGAGAGAAAAAGAGTGGATTATGGACTAAAATGAAAAGTTTCCACAGTGGATATTCGGATCAAGATCAGGATTAAAGTTTAAACATTCTAAAGTTCCCAGCTCCGGGCTAGCAAATCTCTTCGGATTTTCAAAGCACGCAATTTGTTGCCAGACATGGGGGGCAAAAATCTTGGTGTAAAGTTCTTATAGGCAGGCTCTCTGCTGTTCAGAAAATGTGCTTGCCAGTCGGATCGCTTCAAGTATAACGGTGCTAAAGCGTCGGGAAACCCGTTGGTCGCAGGGTGCAATTTAAACTGTTCTGTTCAAATTATTGATCATTCTGAAATGTGTTTAAATGAAAGTATCGCAGAAGGGTGTGAACGATGATGTCCAAAGTGGGACCATATTGCACATTTTGAGCGTTTTTTCTGATGTCGGGTCGAGTAAATTTTTCATCCTTTTCCTATGTAACAAAGATGAACATTTTAAAGATGTGAGATGAGGGAGGAGGGGGTTTCATGAATTCAATAAAAAGCAATTTTCTTGGTCTAGTTTAAAGGGAGTTACCGGCTATTAACGGTAGTTGAACACCCCTCTTTAGCCGAATACTCCCTTTAATAAAAATAAAGAGACACTAGAGAATATTTCTTTTATTTGTTACCAAACTTGTAAATAGGTTGAGTCAAACATTAGAGCTGAACTACTCAGCCCAACAATTCCCTCTTGGACCTAAAAAGGTGAATTAACTTTTAATCTAACCCTGACACAAACTGAATTTACGGTCTAAAATCGATTTTAGATATACCAAAAATTTCCAGTTTTTTATTAGTGTCACTTTTTTCTCTACGCAACACTAAAGCTGTAAAGTTTTTAAAGAAGCAAACTATTTTCTTTTATAAAGTTAATTTCAAGTAAAAAATAAATCTTTAAATAGAAAAACGACATAAAATCAAATTATTTAAACAAAAAACTTTCTCCTTTTTCACTGCTTTTTTGGAACATTGTAAAATGATTTAAAATCTAAATGTTTTCTGCCAATTTCATAAAAATTATCGTCATTTTGAATTTTGTCAATGTGCTTTTACTGAAAACCTAAAGATTTGATTTATTTGGGAAGAGAACTCTCTTTTTTTAGTTTTTAATTCTGATTATTTTAGTGTTTTGAGTTTCATGGAGTTTTGGGCAAATCCTTAGCTAACCTATACTCTGTACAGCTAAGATGACTGGCGTTTTACTATTTATTTTAACTTTTTTTTCTTAAAGAAACTATATTGCAAAATGTACAGGTTGTACCACCTTTAAACAATAAAATTTAAGATACGTTATAAAAATTGTCATTGATTTCGATAGTATATATATATCCAAAGATAAAAACTTGTGTGTGATGATATTGTTAATCTTGAACACTAGATCTCGATATTCAACAAGGGCACTTTTAAATTTTGGATTAATCCTATTCCTTGATCCCTAATTAAAGCTTTCACTGTAGGGTGAAACCACTTCAGGATATCAAAGAGGAATTAGAATAATCCGTAGATCTGCCCAAGTTGCTTGATTCGGAGATTAAGAACACAACACGCTGCAAACGCTCTCATGCAAAAATTCTTTTAAACTTAGGCTAGAAACAAGCACATTTCATTTTAAAATGTATATGCCTAGGGCTGAAAAAATCATAAGTGAGAGTGGGTGAGGTAAAACCAAAGGCCAAGGCGCTGTGTCACTTAAAAGTCTAGGTTTCCTATATTAATTTGATGCCTAACTTTCAGGGTTGTCTATATCTCATAAATTGGATACAGTTGATACAGACAAATTCTGATTTGGATTTTTCTTCTTGTCATCTTTTCTCTCCTTCCTTTTATTAATTTTCTCAAAACCAGTATTTATTGGGACATTGTGCTCCATTGTATTAGTTTTCAGTTTTGTTTGTTGCATAACTTCAGAATGCCTGACTTGACAAGCTGATTGAAGGTTAATTTAGTGCTGACTAAGCTTTAACTCATAGATATATTTTCTGAAATGGAGGTAAAATGGAAGGGGGGGGGGACGTCCATCCACCCTATTTCCCTATCTCCCTATAATTTCTCCATTCGCCAACGGGAAAATTGATAATTGATGGTGTAGAGCTTATTATCAAAGTTCCAACCATTTTTCATGTTCAATTTCTTTTTTCTTTCTGTTTCTTGTTTGTAGGTTTCTGCAAATTTTTTTGAGTTTCATGACTAATTCCTGGTTACGCCTAGTGGTCATAAGAATGGAGATGACAACATTTGTCTACTAGCAATTCAATTCCAAATGTAGGTAGGTAGGTTTGAGGTGTAGGAGTTGGAAGTTTGGATAGGTCAGGAAGGGGTATCAAAGGACTCCCAGAGTACAGAAAATCTATACTTTCCTCTGATTTTTTAGTGTTTCCCACTCGAATTTAAGGTTTTTTCCCCTTGGAGTTGCACTGCATTACAAAGTGGGGAGTTGCTGGCTTCTCCAGGACGTGGCATTTTCAACAGTGTTCCAGTCTTCATAGTTGGCCTAGTATCGCAGCCAGTAGAGTAAAAAACGACATCTTAGTGCATGGTTCTTTCTTTGTTTTTTGAGGTGTGGTGACGCCATGTTTAATTTTCACGCGCTCCCTGTCCGAATATAGCCCAGGCTCCTAGCACTGCTTTCTATGTTCTAACCTTCCCTGTCTTAGCTGACAATTGGGGTGGGTTGATCTAAATAAACTATTTGAATAATTGTTATTCTAAACTGTTAAAGAACCCTAACATTTTGTTAATTAGAAATTACAAAGATGTTGTTTGAAATTACGAAAAAAAATTCAGTGATCATAATTTTAAAAAAATGAATTCGTAAATTCGAAAAACCTTCGTTAGTTCTTTATATGAAACAAAATATTCCTGATTTTTTATAACAGTGTATATAAAAACAAGTTTTTTGAAATAAAATATTTTTTCTTTAAATTTATTTACATTGTGTATACCCTTGCTTGTACATATATTAATGTATTTGTGGTGAAATCTTAAGCCGATATAATCGTAATACATGTTTGTTAACAAATTCAAGAAAACACGAAGACGATTACTACTGTGTAGCTTGAATTTGTTATTTCTGTTAGATTAAAAATCCTCTTTTAATCCAACCCCTCCCTGGGGCCAATGTTAACAAATTCAAGAAAACACGAAGCCGATTACTACTTTGCTTTTATTTCTCATTTCATGCTATTATTCAATAAAAATACCGAATATCCCTTTTGTTCTTTTATTTGTGTCAACAATGTTGTTAGTCCAATGTTATTATAGCTTAAACAAACAATTAGAAAATTCGTATTTTTTTTTCTTTTTCATTAAAGAACCTTTTTTGATAATTTCCCTCCAATTAATATTAGGGTTTTCATATTTTTCCGAATCAATATGGTTCCGAAAAGGCCTGACAGAATCTTTCCATAGGCTGTCAAGAATGATAAGCATTTATCATGTCACACCTAGCTCTTAGTAACATCTATAGGCGGTAGCAAAGAGTTATAATGTAAAGATAATCATTTCAGAGGTGTACGCATTTTTAGTACTGCAGTGTACTGTCTGTGGGCGGTAATGTAAACACAAGACGGATGTTACAGCCAGGCCTGACATGGGATCCATCTTTCACATAAAAAATCAATGAAATATTCTGGTTATAGGAAACTGTAATTTGAATTATCAAAATTAAATGCTCCTTGGATACTGGTCGAAGAACACTGATGCATCTATTCTTGTTAGAGAGAACTGGTTTCGATATGCACGCAGAGAATACGCAACAGCAATTAACTTTCCTTACATTATTACCACGGGTAGTAGATTCATTTAAAAATTTATTAAAGTTTGCAAATTCTGTAAATCCTACTGTTTATGTAGGTTGGAGTGTAATGGATCCAATGATATAAAATCAAGAACTTTATATTTATATCTTAATGTGACCTTAAACTGAGATTGATAATTTATTGCTGTCGAGTTTTGTCCAGAAATAAAATTGAATTTATCTGGAAATATATGTAGCCCCACACAGACATTTGAAGCAATTTAACTAAATAATTTAATGTTTTGAGTTAATATAATCTTAAAATTCGGTGATGGTGTTGGACTAAACCTCTGTAGATTATAAAAAAGTAAATGCTAGTTCCACATTTTATTGAAAATATATTTCGGTCTGCAGGTTGACCGACCTTAGTCAGTTCTTGAGATTGTTCCTTTTTTATGGCTTTTCAAATTAGTAAATAGTAGACATAGAGTGTCCTATAGAGTGTAAAGATTCACCATTCTTTAATTAATATTGGGTTAAAAGAACCCACAAAGGTGATTGTGCGGAATTTATGTTACCTTCTTAATGATTCCCTGCTTATAAACTTATTTCTTTGCCAAATCATTGAATAACCCAGTTAAAGACTATATTTTAGGCAGATTGCAGAAGACTTCATTTAAAATTGGAATCGTAATGTTTGTAGAGTTTCACGTCGTCTTTACAGTCTCATCCTTTGTGGGTAACCCTGTCCTTTAAGATTTCCAATGCACCCCCCTACACATTTTTGATATAGTCCCCCCCCCCCTCATTTATGTTGTAGTGCACATTACATGTAATATAAGAATGTAGAATGTTGTGTTGCTAAGTTTTGAGAGTACATATTTCTGGAGTTAAACTGTCCGCGTTCAAATTACCAAATCCCAGCAATCTCTATAATCTCTCCATGGAATGTATACTAAAGGTAGGGGGAGGGGGTGATAGGGTTTGGGAACACAAATACTGTGACGGATAGGACTGGTAGGAACAAATATTTTCAAAACAATAACGAAGGTAGGCAATTTCCGGGCTTATTAAACTAAACTCCGGTTTATTTGATGTACAGGCTCAACTTTCAGGCAACTAGAGCAATTTGTGTACAGTCTATTATCAAATCTCGGAATTTTTCTAATGCAAAAGTTTGGTGTTGTTTGGGTTTATATTGATCTACTGCAGGGGTTGTAATCTGGCAGCACATTCATCCATCCACGCTTCATTCATATCGAGAATAGGGTTAACAAGATTCCAGCTGCCTAAGGGCTTCTTAGGCCTGAGAAAGGAGAGTGCAAGAATTTTTCTGATATACTGGAATGAGGCCCGGGTGCCATACTGATAGGAAACATCACACTTAAAGTTACCAATCATTTGTAAGTCTGGTTTGATAAAAGGTAATTTGTAAAAAATTTTAAAATTAGTTCAATTAAACAAATATTGCTTAAAAGGATCCTGAGCAGTCAAAATATGTTAGAGTAAAATTAGCACAAACTTGCGTTTTTTACTTAATTTACCGTTAGAAATGCACAACTTTATTATCTTTTTAGATAAACTTTATCTTAGAACAGACTGCAATGTAATTGGTTAAAAAAATTGGCTACTTAAAACCAAGGTTTTTTCTGGCCTTGCTTACGTTACTGGCCTAAAATTCTGCTTTAGACTATTACAAAACTATACTTAATGCCATCTAACAAATTTTGTTTTAAAATATGTGGTATTTTTCATACAAATGAGATACGTAACAAAATCACAATTTTAGCTTTATTTTAGTAGGAGAGCATCCTATCCTATAACTGATAAAAACAAATTTAGAAGTTTATAACCGTGTCGTCGTTTTCCCACCATTTTTAGCATCTACAAATACAATGATTAATTTATTTGATAACTAGAGTTCTAATGTTGATTGTTTGAATTTAAAACCAATACTGCAGCTAATGACGTCATATAAAAGTGTACAGAGCGTACACACTATTCGGATAAATTCCTAATGCCCTATCTTCTACTATTCTACCGTCTTTGCCCATACCCCTACAATTTACATATATTGATCTCTGCCTTTATTGAAAATAGGCCGTGTTGCATTTTGTTTATATATTCCTCTCAGAAACTGCAGTACACTTATTTTGTAAACAAAAATATGGAAGGTTCTGAGCTGGGAACTTTTGTGTTGGATAATCATAATCCCGAACACTTGATCTCGATATCCACAGTGGGCTCTTATAATTTAAGTTATCCCTTCAGGGTACAATTATATACTGCGGGACACCGAATAAAGATTAAATTAATCCGCAGATTAACAAAAGATCAAGATCAAGCATTGATCTCGATATCCACACTTATACAACAGTTCCCACCCTGGGTCTATCCTCCTTGATCTCAGATAGTTCACATAAATCTTAAACTTGAACTTCTTAAACCAAAAATACAATGAATTCTGAGGAAGGGTTTACAATGGGTATTGTACAGGGTGTATCGCACCATATTAGAATGTCCATAGCTTTAATTTAGGATTTTAATGACATATCAGGAAGTTTTAAAGTTTGAGCCATTTTAAAGGTTGCATAAAGGATAATATAAAGAATTTGTGTAGAAAATCTTTACAAGACTATAACATTTCATAGATTTTATCCTTCAGAGCCCCCCTCTCCCCTCAACTTCTCGTTGCGTCCCAAACACCCCTGGCTATCTCCTCCCCCACTCCTGGCCCCCTTAAGTGCTTTTGTTGCAATTCTGCAAAGGAAGAATATTATATTGCCGAAGATGGACTGGTCTACTGGGCAGTCTGACCCCGACATTTCAGGCCACAACAGATACATCCAAAGAGGAGTTATACATAGAGAGGAATTAACAACCCACAGAGTAGAGTGTTCATAGAGAGAGCCAGGCCTGACATGGGATCCATCTTTCACATAATTTATATTGCCGAAGATGGACTGGTCTACTGGGCAGTCTGACCCCGACATTTCAGGCCACAACAGATACATCCAAAGAGGAGTTATACATAGAGAGAAATTAACAACCCACAGAGTAGAGTGTTCATAGAGAGGAATTAACTATCCACAGAGGAGTTATACATACATAGAGAGGAATTAACTACCCACAGAGTAAAGTGTTCATAGAGAGGAATTAACTATCAACAGAGGAGTTATACATAGATAGAGAGGAATAAACTACCCAAAGAGTAATTTTTTACATACAGAGGAATAAATTTTCCACAGAGTAGAGTTATACAAAGAGAGGAGTTAACAACGCATACAGGGGACTTTTACATAGGGTGGAATTAATTAAACACAGAGTAGAGTTTTACATTAAGAGAAATTAACTACCTCAATAGTAGAGTTATACATAGAGAGGAGTTAACTACAAACCGAGAAATTATGAGAAATTATCTACCTAAAGAGTAGAGTTATACATAGAGAGGAATTAACTACCCACTGAGTAGAGTTATACATAGTAAGGAATTAACTACCCACTGAGTAAAGTTATACATAGAAAGGAATTAACTTCCCACTAATTAGAGTAGTCAAAAGTCATAAAATCATTTTTGCAATTAAGTTTGTTCTCTTGTGTTCACTAATCTTGCTAAAAAAAAAGCCAAAAAAATGTGTATATTTAGCAGATTTTACTAAAATGTGTTTTTTCCTAATATTTTTTCCAATTCCATTTCTGCTAAGTGTAGTGGAGGGTGGCCTTCTTGGTGCAGGTAATATATAATGAATAATAGATAAAAATAGGGAATAAGAAATAACCAGAAATAATCAATATTAAATTATAAATAATGAATGAAAATTAATGATTAATAAGTAATATCTACATTTTACAAAAAAAAAATTTTGTTTTTCAAGCATAGTAAAAGAAATTTAGAAGTTAAATATATTGTATGAATACTTTTGACTCTTTGAAACTTTAAGAATTATATTTATTTTACTGTGTTGTTTCTATCTTTTAAAAGATGTCATTTTCACCACAATTTTTAAAGTGATGCCAAAATTCTAACTGTGCAATGTTTTTAAGGACTTTAAAATAAGGAATTTAATTTCTTTAATTTTTTAGATTTTTAAATTTTTTAAATTTTAATTTAATTTTTAAGGAAGTGGAGCAGGCAGCTGCGCAGCTTTCCCTTTCCGGTCTGAGGATTTAGACCACGTGGGTGGATGTCCAAGGAACCAAACAAATAAATCAATGCTTTAATGTTTCAGCATGCTGACAAATTTACACTAAACAACTCTAAAAGGGATTTTAAGTTGCTATCAGGGGAAAAGAAAACAATTTTAAGCCATTTTTAAAAAGAACAGATAAACCTTTAAAACTTTGGTTTTAAAAAAAGATTTACTACAGAGTACAGTGAAACCCTTAATAAAGAATACATCGAAAGAATTTATCAAAAGTCGTTTTCTAAATCTCCTGAGGCTTCAAACGAATCTGATATGTTTATCATATGTAAAAAATTATTTAAGAAATATCTTTAGTATTTTGTTTTAATTTAAAATTCTTTTTGAAACAGATTTTGCTAACATTAGTGAATGACCAAAGAGATACAACTTAAGATTTAAAAATACCAACTGCCATCAATTTGGTTTGGTTTGGTTCAAAGATGGGCAGAATGTTGCTCAGAGTTTGGATATTGCCATGGCAAGGTATGTGAAACTTGAGATTCCTTCTTTAACGTTTCTTGGATCAATTTGAAATGAAACTAAAATGAAACCGATTAGCTATATCTGGCCAAACATCTAAACCAAAATGTTTGTTTTTTTTTAAATAGTTTTTTTTAAAATTAATTTTTTAATATTGCTATGGGCAACGCAGGGCGCTCTAGTCTTTCATAAAGCCCATAGCAATCAAAAGGTTGACAGCTTTCAGGCAAAAAATTAATCCGTATTTTGCCAATTACTTCTCAAAAACTAAAGCTAAATCAAAAAAAAGTTTGGTTGTTTAAATGAGTTAAATCAACTTTAAAATCGACTGAAGCAGTATGGATTATATGTGAGCCCACATATTATTTTTGGATTGTGTGCTCTAGATCATGGGATTGAATCATTTTGAAAGTAAGACGTAATTATTTGCATGCAGAAAACACAGGGTTATTTGAGCATTTGTTGCTCATTTTGGCGTTAAAGCTCGGAGAAAACCAATAGGATATTGGATGCTCTATAAAGATCTAGTAAAGGATTGAATTAATTTTAAAATCTCTTTAAATTATTTCCATATAGAAATTACAGAATTCTTTGAGTATTCTGAATGTAATTTGGCTTCAGCTTGCAGATAGTCTAATATGATAATGGACGCGCTGGAGATCTAGAAAAGGATCGATTAAAAAAAAAACTTTATAATTGGCTCAAAAATAATTATCCGCATGAAGAAAATACATGGTTCTTATGCCTATTTTGGCGTTAAAGCTTGGACATAATGCAAACTGATATTGACGCACTAGAAACTGTATTTAGAAAAGGATTGAATCATTTTTAAAATCTCTGTATGGCTCAGATATAACTATTTGCATGCAGAAATTACAGAATTTTGTATGTAATTTGACTGTAGCTTGCAGTATATAGTCTAATATGCTAATGAACGCACTGTAGTTCTAGAAAAGGATTGATTCATTTTGAAAATTTGGCTTAGATATAATTATTTGCGTTCAGCCAATACATAGTTCTTTGATTCTAAACGTATTCTGGCTTGAAGATAACATTATGCATATAATTGAATCCGTCATGAATCAAGGGCGTAAACAGAGCCGGGGGGGGGGTCAGAGTGATGCCCAATTCACAAGAGTACCCTTTAAATAGACTCTAGTGTCCTTGACAAGTGTTCAATTCCGACAATTTCCTCAATTATTTCCTTTAGCAGAAATTCAAACCTTTTATGTACTATGTAATGTGTCTATGTACTAGATGTCTTTATAGGATTTTAACGTTTCTTTTTTTACCCCTTATAGTCATTTCTAGTCTGAACCTCTTTCATGTCCTGGCCGCAGAGATATGGTCCCCTCTCTATGCTTAAAGATTTACATTTTTTCTGACAATTTTGATAATTTAAATAATTTTGATTTGTTCAGGGCTGAAGCTGAGCAGGCAGTTAAAGGAGAAACAAAGGTGAAAATTATATTTATTTCTTGTATTTTTCTCTCTCAGTTTTTTGCATTTCCTCTCAATGTACACGTGTAACCGTGTACACGTCTACTTTGATTCGTTATACAGTGGTATGCGATCATATCAAGGCAATGAAGACAAATTTTTATATTGAAGTTTTGATTGTTTAACAAGCTTTTTTAATAAAAACTTTCCAAGTAATCAAAGAGAAGCTTTTTAAACTGACTTCTTGTTTATATATTAATCAAAATTGAAATCGAAAGTCGTCTTCTTGTATTGATATAATCACCTACCTCTGTAGGTTACTGCTTCAATGCTCGGGATATCTGAGGACATCTGGCAGAAAACAATCAAAACTTTACAAACATCTTCTTCTACTTCATCTTCAACTCTGAGTGATTCATCTCTCCAATCCCAAACCGGATTTGCTTCAATTCAAGGTGAGTCTTCATAAGTTCATTTGCATAAAGCTATACAGAGGGACATATAAAACTGTGGAATAGCAAGGCGACTAGATTATGAAATAAAATAGTCCAATAAACATAAAACACAGTTGTTCTTTGTACAGAGATAACCAGACAACTAGGAAGACGACTTTTAGACTCAAGTTATGAGTTTAAATAGTACTATGAGCATGGGACACAGCAATAAGTGATTTAATAAGTGCCTAGTAAAACTTTTTCCTTTGTAACAACATCAAACACACTTAATATTTCTATAGAGTCGTCTTTATATTCCTTTGTTTTCTAGTTGTCAATATACCAGACCCACTTCACTTAATAAGTTGATTCTTAAACTACTGGTAAATCAGTTTACTTTATAACAAAATCAAAGGCAAAGAGGATTGCTTAAATGTCGTCTTCATATTTCAAAGTTTTTTGAACCTCACTGTTGCTTAACCTTTGCATTTTGAACTTTCAAAAAACAAATCTGAGAAAGATCTGTTTGTAAAACTTGTAATTACACTAAACAAACAAACATCTAAATGAAGCTTGTTTGCTTTTTTCTCATAATTTTTTCCTAGGTAAAATTAACAAAGCAAAGAATAAAAAGAGATGAAAATACTGAAAATAAGAGTAAAGCCGCCTTTATATTACCCTTTCTGCAAATGTGCTATTTCTCATTTATGTGAGAGTTTAAAAGAAGCAAAATTTCTTTATACCCTTTAAATTCCAAAACCCTTGAAAGTTTAAAAAACGAGCCAAGCTTTTGCCTATTACTTTGATGTTAGCTAATTCTATGTAGCTTTAAGAATAATTTAGAAAATGTTTAAGGATCACAAGCTGCCTTTGGCACTCAAGGACAAAAGTTTCAAGGAACTCAAGCTGCCTTTGGCACTCAGGAACAAAATTTTCAAGGAATCCAAGCTTCCTTTGGAACTCAAAATTCTCAAGGAACTCAAGCTGCGTTTGGAACTCAAGGGCAAAAGTTTCAAGGAACTCAAGCTGCCTTTGGAACTCAGGGACAAAATGTTCAAGGAACACAAGCTGCCTTTGGCACTCAAAATTCTCAAGGAACCCAAGCTGCCTTTGGAACTCAAGGACAAAAGTTTCAAGGAACTCAAGCTGCCTTTGGCACTCAAAATTCTGAAGGAACCCAAGCTGTTTTTGGCGCTCAAAATTCACAAGGAAACCAAGCTGCCTTTGGAATTCAAGGACAAAAGTTTCAAGGAACTCAAGCTGCATTTGGAACTCAGGGACAAAATTTTCAAGAAACCCAAGCTACCTTTGGAACTCAAAATTCTCAAGGAAACCAAGCGGCCTTTGGAATTCAAGAACAAAACACCCTTGGAACACAAGCTGCCTTTGGAATTCAGGGACAAAATGTTCAAGGAACACAAGCTTCCTTTGGAGTTCAAAATTCTCAGGGAAACCAAGCTACTTTTGGAAGTCAAGGTCAAAGTACCCTTGGAACACAGGCTGCCTTTGGAATTCAAGGACAAAACATCCTTGGAACGTCAGGGCAAACCTCTTTTGAAACGAATGGAGGGTTTCCTTCCGGTCAATCTAATTTCCAACAAGGGTCTGGGTTCAGTTCACAGGCTGGGTCCTCTTTTTCAGGTAAACTTTCAAAATCAAAAAAGATTTAGGAACTGTAGACTGTATAGTCTATCTTTCAGTAACCCTCCATTTAAAAGGCATGGTAGATTCACAACGGTACCCCAGAAATCTTTATCTGATAAAATAAGGGGAAAATATCGGCGTTTTTATTTCTTTATTTCTGATTATTCCTCCATTGTTTATACAGCAGAAATGCGTAAGTACTGAAAAAATAGTTTTCAACGAGATTGACATTAATTTCTAATTTATACTTCGACTGACTAAACTTTAAAGATGTGAATCGGCCATTTTGCTCTGTTAACGGTGGGAAATTTGAAATTACGTCTCAGTTCCTTTTAGAACCTTTTTTATTATTTTTTGTTGTCATTAATTGCGCTGCCTTTCTTACGTGTTTAGCACACTTTTGTCAAAATTAAACTGGAATTATTTGCATCAAGTTGCATACTAAAATACAGGGTTAAATATTAATGACTTATTCTTATTTTTAAAAGGCGTGGATATGATTCAATGGTCTGTAAATTTGTAAAAAAAAATGTTTATATGGTCGTTTTAATAAAAATTAAGAAATGAGAAAACGTACAAAAAAAATGTTGATTTGGCAAGAAAAGATAGATTTGAGTCATTTAAATAAAAATAAGTTCTAATAAATATGATATGTTAGATTCCTCGCTAGTATTGGGTGGCGGTCAACTTTCTTCTCAGGATCTTGTTTCACAAATAATATTCGCTCTCAGGCCACAGATATCATCAGCTGTACAATCCGCAGTACAGGTGAAGAATTAGTAACTAACCCAGCAAAATATTTAAAGCTTTAATCATAATTTAAAATTCGGTGTTAAAGATGCTCCAAACCTCACAGAGTAAAACATAGGTTTTCTCTTCAGTTCTAACGTTACAATAACCATCAAAATCGATATTTAAAATGTTAAAAAATCACAAGAAAATTAAGAAAAAACTTTACAAAAAAAGAACATTGGTTGTCAAATGAGAAAAGGGAAACAAACTCTCAGATTAAAATGTGTTAAAAAGATGATTTGTAAATATTCCCTTTATAAAGAATGTTTAAACAGAAAATTACCGCGAAGAAATCTGACCGAATTCAAAGTAATGAATATCTAATTTTTTATTATGACTGAACTTAATAGGATGCATCGTATTAAACTTTTATTTGTCCTTCCACATTCATGAGATTATCAACGAAATAAATTTGAACTTCGTCAAAAAATGGCCAATATAGCAGCAAAGCAGCAAATTTTTCGTGGTTCAGCAATAGATGGTATAAATAAAATTCTGGGTTGGCATGTATATTGTATAAGCAACTTTTTCATTTCAGCAGTCCTCAGCAACCGGAAACAGATTCATTGAACAAAATGGCGTCAAGCGATTTAAAACTGTCTCCAGTGGCATTCAGTCGTCTTCGTTTGATTCTGCGCGTCTAGTTGCTCAAATTGTCGAGCAGCTGAGACCTCAAATTTCAACTGCCGTTAATAGTCTCGTGTAAATAAAGTTTATTGATGACAAATAAATGACCAAAATTAAATTATTTTGAATTTAAAAAAAAGAATTGATGAACAGTTTCCATATTCTTATCTTATATACCGGGTGAACCACAAAGGAAAGACTACCCGAAACTCTTAAATTAGTTCGATTTCAAGGTTGAATTAAGTCTTATACCTGGACTATCGTCATTTTACGGCTTTAATAATCATTTAATTATTTTGTATTTTAGTGCAAATTTCGAGTTATGAGAAATCTAAAACAATTCCTAACTTACATTGTGTTTAATGATTTGAAAAAGAACGAAACGAATATAAAGAAAAAGACAGTTTACATTTGGTGTTAAAACTCGTAGAATGTAAAGTAAGACCCAGAAAACTGAGCAATAGGAAGACGACATGAAAATCAATGATCATGCATATTTGGTGACTATTTTTTTTATTGGTCAAGTGTTTAACTAATCTATAACGTCTTTATTGTTTATGTATCAAACTAATTTATAAGTGAAATGGGTTGATTTACATTGCCAATTGTTGTGTGCCATGTTCATTGGGCTATTTCAAGTAATAATTTTAGTCTAAAAGTCGTCTTCCTATCCTAGAGTTTCCTGGTTCTCATTGTAACTGAAGAAACATTGAAATCGGAACCTTGACCTTTCGCGAGAGTTTGTAGAGGTTAAGATAATATCGTGATATTGATATAAAGTACACTGTCTTAGAGTTCAAGGGTAGAGCACACACAGTGAGAGAAGAACTAAGGAGATAATAAGCATTCAATAATAAAGGAGTATTTATTATATAGGTTCTGGACAGAAAGACTAGAAAATCATATTTATTATTTACTAACTCTAAAAAATATCAAATTGGTAATTTCTATGTCTAATTGGTTTAAATAAATTAAAAGTGTTGAATTAATAATGAATTTTCAAAATTACTAAAATAAATGATGCTATACAAAGCTCATCACTATCAGACGGTCAAGTCTAAAAAATTCTACATTTTTAAAAAGAGGAGACATTTTTAAGCTGGGGGGGGAGGTACTTAAAAGACAAGTTTATTTACTTAAATTTAGAATCTGCGTTTTAGTGGGAAGTATTATTCCGTAACTTCGGAGTCATCAAAAGAAGTTATAAAATTTAGTCTTCTAACCCTACTGATTAAAGAATGCTGCAGACATTTAGTTTTTTATTAAATGTATGGAGCTCTTTATAACTCTTCCTGCATATTTCATGGCTATTTATTTATTTTTACAATTACTAAGATTTAGGTATAATTGTATGAAACCTATTGAAAAATTGTCAAGACGACATTTTGAAATTTCTTTCGATGTATTGGAAGTTTTAGATTAAACTGTAGTTTCTATTCTGAAGCGCTGGGATTGAAGTATCAATTAGATTGAGTTCAACCGCTACTTGTTTTCTCTCTCGTAGAAGAGCATATACGCAGAAGATCTGGACACCTCAGAGTATTTAACCTAAACAGTTTTTGGTAATTTCGTAATCGTTTTCCGATTCAAAACGAAAAACGAAAAAAAGTTTGATTTCGTTTTAAACGCTGAAAATGTTTTCTGTTTCAAAACGAAAAAAATCTGAACACCTCTCAGAGTTTTTAAACTAAAATGTGTTATTTTGTCAAGATTAAATCTTTAATTTTTTGGCAATATCCTATAAATCGACATAAGACATGCAAGGTAGCCGCTGACATACTAGCGCGCCAATTAGAGTAATGTGTTATGTATAATTTGAAAGGTAAAACAATCAGTGATTATATTGAGGATGATAAAAATATAAGAAGTAAATTTAAATGATACTAATAACAATTTGTAAATACCTGCTTAACTAAAGAATCTGAAGTATAAAACCATTTATTTTCAGTCTTGGATCCAATAGGACCTTTCCTAATACAAAAAATAAATATTTTTTTTCAGGAACATTTTATGGAGACATTAAAATACATACTTAATAAGTGATTTAAGAACTTACTATTAAGGATATTTACTATGAAATAACATTAAATACTCCTTCGTATTGATTTAATGTCGTCTTCCTACTCTACAGTTTGCTGGTTCTGAAGGAAAACTAACCTGTAAGTAATATAATGCCCTGAATCTATTCCACCAGAATGAACAATTACAGCTCTCAGGCTGTATAAACTTCCTAAACCTCCACTGCTAGTTAATCCCAAATCTACAACTGCACCCCTCGCTGAAATACGAAAACAAATTTAATTTTGAAACCTTTATTTTTTTTTGTCATTTTGCTCTCATTTTAAACATGAATCTTCTCGGGTTTTAAGATGATTAAAGGGACTGAAAGCACAATTTCAAGTGACCCTCCATACAAAGATGACAATGCCTGATCTACAGCGGTTCCCTTGAAACCTTAATGTGATCAAAAATGTTGAAGATAACGTCGTGTTTTAAATTCGAAAAGTGGTTATTTCTAATAATTTCTCACTTGCTTCTTAAAAGCAAGAAATGTGCAAGTCACTTTCGCAGAAAACAGCAAACGAAAATTAACAGTTTTAGAAAAACTAAAACATGGATATCTAATTATCTATTTCATACTTGATCAGACAAAAATTTTAAATTGTAAATTGGGCATTGCCATCTTTGCATGGAGGGTTACTTGAAATTACGCTCACAGTTCCTTTTATAACATTTAAATGAATATTAAAAAACTTTTTAAATCAAAACATCAAATAATTGTATCATAACTGTTTTGGGCAATTCAAGCAACTAATGCGGTAAAATATTCCTAAAACTAGATCGTTCTTGAAATTAGCTCTAAATACGCTGTACGCCGGCGAAAACTTATCTATGGCTTGTTTTAAGTACAAGAGTGCAAGAAGGGGGGAAGGAGTAATTACATCTCATGTTTACCTTTCAAGTTATTAATAGAGTTTTGTTTTATTAGCTGAGTGGAGTAAACATATTTCTCCATACTTAGAACCGGAGGAAACTCTACAAATTCATGACGCTTAAAGGGCTGTCCTCCACCAAACCCTAAAATTGTTAAGAATTTTAACATTTTAACATATTTGGCTCAAAATGCATGTACATATATTTTTGCAATTGAAAAAACAATTAGGCATTTTCATATATTATTTAAAAAACACTTCAGAACGAAACTGTTCTTTGATAAGATAAACAAAATTCTTTAGTCCGATTTCTCAAGAATTAGAAAAATATCATTTTTTTCAGAACTTCAAAGCCGAAAAACTTCAAAAGCCTCTGTAAATGAAAATTCAATCATTACAGATTTATTTCAAACTAGATATTAAATAAAAAAGTTATATTTAGGCATCATGCACTTTATTCAACGTTGTGCATTTTTATCTAAGTTTTGGAATGTAAATTCAAATTAAGTACAGTACTGTATTTACTCTACTGTAATGTTCTGCACCGTACCGTAACGTACCATACTGTACTGTACTAATAGATTTATGATAGTTTTGTTCACATTAACCCTGAGGAAGAAACCCAACGAGTTACGAGTAGTCGGGCGTAGAAAAAGACTGAGATCTGTTATACGCCAACTACGTGTAATTCTTTTGGGCTTCTGCATCAGGGTTATTGATAACGAAACACACATAAATCTTGAAAAGACGACATCTATTGTCCAATCGGTTATTTTAATTAATCTATGACTGTACTGTACTATACTGTACTAAAATGAACTGAGCCGGAATTTTTTCAAATTTACGGTCGTATTTAAGACGTCCTAAATACGTCTCCGTACTCTATAGTGTTTTTCCGCTAGATGTCTCCCGTTAGTTATTTTCGGACAGACAGACTTACTCACGTCGTGTTTACTCACATAATTTCGCCGTGAGTTAACCTTATTATAGATGTCAGCACCTGCACACAATACAACTTTAAAAACACAGGGATAAAAAATAATCACAATTTTATTAATACAATTCAATTAAAAAAAGTCAAATTTTAATCCGATTTTGATAAAAACTAAATAAAAAATTTAATAATCTGTAGTTTTATTTTACGAAAATTATTATAATCCATGAATTCTTGAGAATTTAATATTTTTGAAAGTCATCAATAAAAAGCATCCCTGAAAATGTATTCATGCAGTGAATTGAACAGCTTTCTATTTATTTTCGTCTATAGGGGTCGCGCCATGTTACAGTTTATGGTCAGACACTAAATGTTGTAGAAAATCCCATTTAGACAGTACTTAATTCCTCCGTATTTAGAACGTTAGTAAGTGGAGACGTCATATGTTTGCAAAAAGTACGGATGAAAAAATTCCGGCTCTGTATTGTAATGATTATTACCTGTTCTCTGAATATGTAAACAAAGACATTCAGGAAGTTTCCCGAAAGTTAATTGTTTTATTAAATTTTGTTCTTTACTTTCTCCTTCCACACTCTCCTATAAATTACAATAATAAAACAAAACATGCATATACATGTTCCCTATAGCCGGCCAAACGGCTGAACCGAATGACTGAAATTCTTTGTAGATACTAACGGGTAATGTGTGGGTGACATGGGTTGAAAAAAATCGATTTTTTTTGGTCATTTTTTATTGTTATTCCACGGGCAAAGCCGGACATTTCAACTAGTTAGTTATAACAGAAGAAATTTCGAAAAATGCTTCGCCGCAGATATTCTTCTGGAATTTTATACTAATACTTTGTGGGAGACGATATTTCCTCTAACCTGAGATCCGCCAAACCAAATATTGTTAAACAGTATCGTGTGAATCTGATACACTTTTTTTCCGATTCTATTGTGAACTTAGAACTAAATATTCAAGTTGAGTCTATCCTAGCCTCGTTATTTAGAGACCGTCCTCACGACCTCACGAACTTAATGCTTATAATATTTTTCTTCTTAGCAAAAATGCCCGAAACCAGGAATATAGGGATTTTTTTACCTTAGAAATAAACATCTGAAGAAGGGTCTCTAAGGTTACAAATCCAAAAACCTAAATGAAAAACAAGAATAAGAGAGGTTCTAATGGGAGTTTGAAGGAAGTCAATGCAAGGTTGGCAAGCCCATCCAATATTTCTACAGTGTTACCCACAAAGCATAAGATTGTAAAGACGACCTTCATCACAGGGCTGAATTTAGTCTTCCGCCTTAAAAATAGTTTTGTCTAAACTTGACGAATGATTAGGCAAAGCAAGGAAGAAGTTTATGGTTGCGGAGAATCATGCTTTTTAGGAAACGTACAGTTTACATTCCGTACGGTCGTCTTTAAAGTCTCATCCTTTCTGGGTAACCCTATATTTCACTGTTTTATTACATAATGTTTGTGTCTTGCCCTAGCATTGGTAATATTCAATTTTTGAAAAGATTAAAACAATGTGTCAACTGTGTGTCAATTGGTTTCATAAGGCTAAACTTGACAGTGGAAAGGCAAGACCCCATTCTAAAAGATGTAAATTGTACTTCCCAATAGCTTTTCCCAAGCGGCAACTTCCCAAGGGTATTTTCCCAAACAGCAACTTCACAACTGTGCAACTTCCCAAGTCTGTTATGGCCGCAACGCTTCGCCTCCTAGCCCATCCTAGCCGCAGCGACCCCCATTGCAGCCTGTAGCGCCTAAGAAGGCCTAATCTAACCTTTGGGAAGTTGCTGCTCGGAAAATCGCACATTTGGGAAGTTGCTACTTGGGAAATTGTCATTTAGAGAAGTCGCTCTTGGGAAAATGTCTAGGGGAAAATATTAAACACCATTAAAAAATGTTTTTAAAAACTAAAAATAATGAAAAAACCTTTACCTGGGTTGGAAGGTTGAGAGTTATATTGTTAAAGGATGAATATTTCACTGGAGAACTATAAAAAGAGTTTAATATTAAATAATTATCTACAATCTACATAGTAGGATATGTTATGATAATAACATTTATGGTGGTTTCAGTTCTACATTAATGCAATGAAAAAAATCCAAAATGATGATGTCAAATTACGTAACGGTTTTCTGCTTTCTTATTTTCCCTGTTTTGAATACAGATTAATTTTACCTTGATTTTCCAGCGTTATTTGATAATTTATTTGTTAATAGACCAGTGAGAGGAGATATTTCACCCTTAACCACCAAATTTCAATAGTTATTTTCATTTCAAATTCATAGTTATCAAATATTTTCACGCCAAAAATAAATAGATATGAAAAAATGTTTTACTTATCAATTTTTGTGAAAGATTTTTTTTAACCTTCAAACGGAATTCATACCAAAAACTCCTGGGAATCGGAACTTTCTAATCCGTAAATCAAGATTTCACTTTAAAATTATCTTATCAGTTTAAAAAAGATCTGTGTACACTGCACAGTGCACAACTGTTGTGTTTCATATTCATTGGATTAATTAATATCAGAAAATGAGTCCAACAGTCGTCTTTCTATTCCACAGTATTATGGTCCTCACCGTAGGAAGCAAGAGTAAACGATTGAAATATTCCTTGTTAGCTAGAATGGGATCTAGAGAAGCAGGAATAAGTTCCCCAAACTTGTTAAATACACCAGAAGATGATCTTCTATGTCGTCTTCCTGGTAATTCCTAAAATGGGTTCAGGTTAATTCACCTTTCTTCAATACCGTTTGCTTTTAAACTTTTATATATAAAATAATTTAATAAAAAAAAGTCTATTTAAGGGACTGTAGCGTAATTTCAAGGAACACTCTTTATACACATTTCTTGTTAATAAGAAGCAATTGAGAAACTCACAGAAATAAAAACTTTTCGGGTCAAAAAAAAAAGGTTTCAATCAATAGTATATTTGTGAATCGGGCTTTGCATGGAGGGTCACTTAAAATTACGCTTACAGTCCCTTTACGTCTGTTGTAAAATTTATTATTACTATCAAATACTAATCAGGTATACTTAAGTGTCTAAAGTTGTGTTGTGACTAAAAGTGTGAAAAAGCCTAGCAACGATTTCGCGATAGCTTTGCTACGAAATACTTTAATTAAAGAGAAAACGCATAGCTTAAAAATTAGGTCTTCAGAATGTTGGGTGTACCTCTTTTTAGAGATTATTCTATAATTCTCATTATTGTTGGTTAGATTTACAATCTGTTTTACTTTTATGGGTTCTGTGATTCCTAGCCCTAACCTGCCCTTGACTTCGTAAACTGGTTTTTTTTGGTTAATAATAAGAAAAAATGAAAAAACCTTCCTTTTCATCCCCCCTTACCCCAAGGGAGTGTTCCTAACCTACCCTTGATTCTGTCACTGGCGAGGTATCTCGAGATATCGACTGTGAAGGACGCGGCAACAATCTCTCTCTGCTGGCACGTTCAGGGGGACAGGACATCCCCCTGTGAAACACCCTTGAATCATCCTTGTCTTCCTCTTCCTCTTCATCAGATACTCCCAGGTTAGATATATCAAGGAGAGAAGCATGACTGGGTTTACTTCTACTGCTCCTGAAAAAATTAGAAATTCAAAAATCCAATATCAGCAAACTATTACCGTACCGTACCAAATAATAATTGAATTCCTAATTTCTTTTTTTAATTCTCAAAAACTAAGTCTTCTGTATTTCCATTCTTTAAATGTAACTACGAACCATGTTAAGAAACTACTGTTTAAAGTACAATTTCTTGTGTACACTCAGTGCTCATCTTTTAGCTACTTAATCTTGGTTCTTTAATAAATCATCCTTCAAAATGTTCCACACTCTTTAAACGCAGAAAAAAAAACAATCAAATAAAAAAAGTAATTTTTCTTACTTTTCTTTCATCTCTTCCTCCAGAGTTGTCATTAGAACATTCAGCATCTCGTGGGCATCCTGCTCCTCCCTTCAAAACAAAACAAACAAAAATAATGATTTTTCTAAAAGGTCCATCGCCTTCCCCCCCCCCCTGACTTGTAATTTACAACAGATGCGCGAAAATGTAATGAAAATGAAAAATTAACAGTAAAATTTTTGCAATCCATGTCAGACTCAAAACTTTTTGAAGATTCTTAATTGCGTTTTCTTAGAGAAATGGCTCACCTGTTAATAATCCATCCATGGGCCCGAAGAGCATGCAAGACAAGACTAGGATTGTAGGGGTTAGAGTGTTCACCGCTATCTAGAAATCAGACTAGTATTAAGATTAAGATGTATATTGTGCGCCGCTATCTAAAAACCAGACTAGGATTGTAGGGGTCTAGATGAAACTTCTATAGGGTAGGATGTACACCGCTATCTAGAAATCAGACTAGGATAATAAGGTCTGGTTGTAAACTTCTATATTGAAATCAGACTATGATTAAAGGGTGGACGGATATACGTCGCTATCTAGAAATCAGACTAGGTTTATAGGGTCTGGATGTACGCCGCTATTTATAAATCAGGATGTACGCTGCTATTTAAAAATCAGACTAAAATTGTTTTCAATAAACGTAATAAACTAAAAAATCTCTCTTACCTAAATTATTTAAAACTGCCAAAATTTTGCACATACTTCCTTTCAGGGTTCCATCATCCTTTATCCGTGTACTACCCTAATCAGAAATCAAGGTTTGAAATTCGATATTTTTGACAACATTTATTGTGATTGTGAGTGATAGTGATAACGATTGTGATTGATTGTGAAGATTGTGATGGTAACCGTAATTGTAATTGTAATTGTAATTGTGATTGTGATTGTGACTGTTGTAAGATCTGGAGATCTTTATATGACTATTGTTCAGGTTGATTCACGAAGCATGAGACTCTGCAAGTGTTCCTCCAGAAGCATTCAAAGATCTAATACTACAATACAATATCTACAAATATTTATTCTACATTTATGAGTTTTATCCTGAAAACTATATTTATTGGACTTTTTAACCTGAGAACAAGAATTTTATATTACATGCCTATATATGTACTCTCAAAGTTTACTTTTAAGAACTTATATTTAAACAAAGCCTAGCCTATAAACTTATCTAATGGCCCTTATGTTTCAGAACATAATGGGATAGATTTTATTAAAAGATTGTCCTGTTAGCTCCAGGTTGTGCACTCAAGGTTTACTAAACATCTAAATAATTGTTTTATGATTTTCAACGAACATTAAAGCTCTATTCAAAACTGAGAAATCAATCGATGTTTATAAAAGTGAATTCAGTTAATAATCTCGTGTCACCACCTGTTCTACCTGAACTCTGAACTTTAAATATAAACAGGTGATCAATTGAGAAACTCCAGTTAAGCTGACTTGGAATTTCATCTAACTTTCGGTTTATCTTTAGATAAGCCTGCTGATCAACTCACTATCCTCGAACCTGGTCTTCTCCCCCAGGACGGATGGATTTGTTCCTCTGATCTGAGTTGCTACTCAGATCCTCGTCATCACAAGCCTGCAGTAGCTGCCATCTCTCCGCCGCTGCTGCCATCTCTCCGCCGTTGCTGCGATCTCTCCGCCGTAGCTGCTATCTCTCCGCCGATGCTGCGATCTCTCCGCCGTAGCTGCCATCTCTCCGCCGTTGCTGCGATCTCTCCGCCTTAGCTACCATCTCTCCGCCGTAGCTGCGATCTCTCCTTGGATGAAGTAAAACTACGCTTCTCTCCAAACCCAACAGCTTGAAGATAAAGCTTAATTACAAAAGGTGAAGATCAACAGATTGAAACTAATCACTCAAAGGATTAAATGAACTAATTTAATCTCGTTCAGATATCTCCTCTATCAACCCTGAGTGCAAGGTCAACTCCTTTAAGCTGATCTCACCTGTACCTTCTATTCTCCAGTCTCTGTCGGGATAACAATAGTTTCTTGTGATGAGTGTGAACTACTTTTTCGAGTTGTGAACAATTGAAAACACATATTTAAAGTTAAAGACTATATCTTTCAAATGAACTCACCGTGATATTTTTAGTTGTGTACGAGATATGTTGGCTAAAATCTAAAGAGCTATTAACCTCCGGCCTAATCAACTTTGTAAGTGCATTTTTAAATCACATTAATACGTCATGAAATATTCACATTACACACCTGGAGCAAATTTTATTGGCAAACTTTACATTTTACGATTTATTTAATATTCATAATATAAATAATCTAACCGTGACTGATTTTGTGTTTTTCAGTTTCACGGCTTAGAGCTATTGTTCCTGTATCTATAGACTAAATAAATAAGATTAAGCAAGACTCTAGTGTATAAACGAGGTGCGCTGGTGAAAGATGTATCTTAATGTTAATAGTATGAATACCTGTGGATTTAAGGTATTGGTATTCTTGGTTCTATCGTAGACCTTGAAAATGGCACAAAAGGTTTGTTTTAATCTAAATTTTGAAATTCAAGTTTTTAGATGTTCAAATTTTTAGAGACTCTGAAATTAGAGAAAATATATGTTTAATAACGAACACTAATGAAAGATTAAGACTTCAGAAACGATTTACAGAAATGATTTTTTTCCTTCATAATTCTTTCTATTCCAAGTCGTTGAATTTACATTCCCAAAACTTGATTTAAGACAAACTACGCTATTTGCCCTGATTAAGGCCATTACAATTTGGTTATCATTAAAGTATCATCCTTTGTGGGTAACCCTGTATAGTGTATTTTCTTTTTACAAGTTTCTGTTTAAAAATATTGTTCGTTTATTGGCCCAGGTTCTTATCAATTATAACAAACAAACGTCAGCTTTCAACTTTAAGTTTACAATAAAAATCCATATGACGGAAAGAAGAATTTAATGAATAACAACAACGAGGTTATAGTGTTTAGAGTGATGATGTACGCTATTCCTTTACTAATTTTATAGACCATAAACTATACTGAGAGCGTACTGTATATTTCGTTTATTTTAAGTTGATTCTGGCCTAACCTATAGTATATCAAAATTAGCGCTCACAAGTAAATTTTTAATCTTAAATTAAATTTTAAAACCCCAACTAGTCGTAAAAAATTTAAAGTAAAACTAACCAAAGTAAAATAGCTTAAAATTTTCGCGCACTACTTCCTTTTTGAAGTTTTTAGCAACCTGAGAAAAGGCCGCCTTAATTCACTCCCAACCCTTAAACGGGTAAATGTAAAATTTAACGTCTTGGAAAGTTCAAGAGGTAATATAATTAACCATTGTAATTTTTTAATGAGGACAAAGACAGCCAAGCTAGTTTTTGAAGTTGATTTTTAAACTTAGGGCAATTCATCCAGCCAACCCGGGTTAAAAACTTCACCATTGACCAGACCAGCCCCCCATTTTTTTTTTCTCATTTTTCAATTGGGCGGATGCAATAGCTGAACCAGACTATTAAGATTAATCGCGCTATGGGGTGTGAAGCCTTTTTCCTCATATAACTCGCCTAGGATAGAATCAACTGTTGTGATTTAAACTTTTATATTTTTATCATTTATAAAGCTAAGTAAAAACTAGAGGGAAACCCAGTACAGCTGACTGAGCACAAAGGTAAAGAACTATTATCCCCCCTGAATAACAAGCTTTAATACGGATTTTTATATTTTGAAAGGATTTACTTTAATAACCATTTTACTGTTTTTGGTCTTTCATGGTTAAACTCCATCAATAATAAAGGCTAAAAACCATTATGAAAATTATTTAACTCTTGTTGAACAATATTCGACCAAAAGTTAAGGAATTATTCGATATTATACTAAATTATATCCTATTCTAAAAATATACTTGCTTGTCTGTCTGTCTGTCTGTTTGTTTGTATCCAATAAACGTCAAAATGGCTTAACTTATCCAGCCCAAATTTGTGGAACCTCACAAAACCCCAAGGAAGGTTTTTGGATGATCAAAATTTCAAAAATTAGCCTACAACAAAATTCGATTTCATTAAATTTTGAAAATCCACAACTTTTTTTGTTTGTTTACAGTGTATACAAAGAGAAAATGTTTACAATTGAACTAGAAGATGGGAGCGAAGCGCCCTGAAAGCCTAGTTATACTAAAAGGTCTAGGGTTAGTACAAGGTTACCCTCAAAGGATGAGATATCAGAGACCACTTTCCTTAGATTCATGATTCCTAGCAACAGTAAACTTATTTCTTTCTATTTCAAATACTAAAACAAGCCATAAAACAGACAAAAAACTTAATTCAATCTTGTAATCAGCATGTGAAAGCAGATTCAGGTCGTCTTTACAGTCTCGTCCTTTGTGGGTAACCCTTGTATTTGTTCCAATGCGCCCCCTTTGCATCCGCCCCTGCACCCAAGCATTAAAAACACTGAAAAAATAATAAAACAGTGAGACAAATATTTTTATAATTTATTAATAAATAAACTAAACAGAGATGAACTGACAATTCTTTGCAGCTTTACCATTCACCTAAAAAAAAAACTTTTAGAAATAAAAATTGTAAAATGTAAAATTGTAATTTTTGGATGGTTTGCAGATGGTATTTAACCCGTTCATGGTTGTTAATTGTAACTTGAAACATATTTGAATTTTGTGTTTAAAATTCCTCAATTTTAATTTAATGAACAATTCAGCTTTTTTGAAAAGACAGAACGTTTTAAGACTTACAAATATAATTTTTTATGATGAGTTGATTATCTTTGTATTTAATAATGATTTAAATATATAATCAATTACATTAGTTTGATATTAATTGATACATTTACTAATAAATAGATCAACTAAAAGATAAATAGATAAACATAGATATGAAAAATAGATGGAATGATCGACAAACTGGATCAATTGATTGATTTATTAATACCCTGAATGCTCAATTGATTGATTGACTAACATCCTGAATGCTCAATTGATTGATGAATTGATAAATTGGTTGAGTAATTGATAAATTGATTAAGTAATTGATAAATAGATGAATTGATTGATTTATCACCTTGCTGAGTATGGCTGACAACGATCTGCCTGGTCCACATTCATAAACCCGGGGATATATAGCAGCAGGCCCCAGCTGGAACAGGGAACTGAAGAATAATGATTTCAGTGATAATAATGATAATAATAACATTGATAAAAATGATAAGAATAATCATGATAATGATAATAACAATGATAATGATAATGATAATGATAATGATAATGATAATGATAATGATAATGATAATNACATGAACATGAACATGAACATGAACATGAACATGAACATGAACATGAACATGAACATGAACATGAACATGAACATGAACATGAACATGAACATGAACATGAACATGAACATGAACATGAACATGAACATGAACATGAACATGAACATGAACATGAACATGAACATGAACATGAACATGAACATGAACATGAACATGAACATGAACATGAACATGAACATGAACATGAACATGAACATGAACATGAACATGAACATGAACATGAACATGAACATGAACATGAACATGAACATGAACATGAACATGAACATGAACATGAACATGAACATGAACATGAACATGAACATGAACATGAACATGAACATGAACATGAACATGAACATGAACATGAACATGAACATGAACATGAACATGAACATGAACATGAACATGAACATGAACATGAACATGAACATGAACATGAACATGAACATGAACATGAACATGAACATGAACATGAACATGAACATGAACATGAACATGAACATGAACATGAACATGAACATGAACATGAACATGAACATGAACATGAACATGAACATGAACATGAACATGAACATGAACATGAACATGAACATGAACATGAACATGAACATGAACATGAACATGAACATGAACATGAACATGAACATGAACATGAACATGAACATGAACATGAACATGAACATGAACATGAACATGAACATGAACATGAACATGAACATGAACATGAACATGAACATGAACATGAACATGAACATGAACATGAACATGAACATGAACATGAACATGAACATGAACATGAACATGAACATGAACATGATCATCAACATGATCATCAACATAATCATGAACATGATCATGAACATGATCATGAACATGAACATGATCATCAACATGATCATCAACATAATCATGAACATGATCATGAACATGATCATGAACATGATCATGAACATGATCATGACCATGATCATGAACATGATCATAAACATGATCATTAACATAATCATGAACATAATCATAAACATAATCATGAACCTTATCATTAACATAATCGTTAACATGATCATGATCAAAATCATGAACACGGCCACGAACATGAATATGAAAAAAATATAAAAGTGAAAAACCTTGGATTTGATATTTTAGTGAATTTGAGAGCTTCTGTGAAAGGTTCTACTGCTGGTTGCATTAAAGGTGTATGGAAAGCTCCACTAAAAATAAAGTTTAAAGAGACAAGTATGAAGAGCTCCACTAAAATAATGTTTAAAGGGATTGTATGAAAAGCTTTACTAAAAATAAAGTTTAAAGAGATAGTATGAAGAGCTCCACTGAAAATAATGTTTAAAGGGATTGTATGAAAAGCTCCACTAAAAATAATGTTGAAAGGGATTGTATGAAAAGCTTCCCTAAAAATAAAGTTTAAAGAGATAGTATGAAGAGCTCCACTGAAAATAATGTTTAAAGGGATTGTATGAAAAGCTCCACTAAAAATAATGTTTCAAGGGATTGTTTGAAAAGCTCCACTAAAAATAATGTTTAAAGGAAGTGTATGAAAATCTCCACTAAAAATAGCCCATCCTAGCTGCAGCACTTGGCCTCTATTGCAGCCTGAGGCGCTTCAGAGAGCCTAACCTATCCTTTGGGAAGTTGCTGCTTGTGTAACTGTAAATATTTAAGTTGCTACTTGTGAAATTGTCTCTTGGGAAGTCGCCCTTGGGAAAATACCTTTGGAAAAGTGCCTAATACCAATCTTTATACAGTTTAATCTAGAACATAGGGAGACATCGGAAGATTTTATGAATGTCATTTTCTGAACCTACTGATAATAGAATGCTGTATATATTTAATTTTTTTTTAATATGGAGCTCTTTAAAACTGTTCCCGCATACTTCATGGCTCTTTAGTCTTTATTTATTTATAAAATAAATAAAATTTAGGTATAACAGTTAAAAACCCATTACAAAATTGTGAAGACGACATTTTACAAATTCTTTCAATGTCTCCATAGTTCTGGGTTTAACAGAATATAATTTGCTCTGTTTGGTTCCAATAAACTCCGAAGCGATAGGTCAAAATTAAATGTGTATTCACTTGGAATTGGAAATCAACTGACAAGTTTTCATTCTTTCTGACAGGGGGGGGGGGAGGTCAGATCCCCCTCAAAGTGGAAATAAAATCTAGGTCAGCTATAAGTACTAAGATCCAACCTGACTGGTAATCGTTTAGTTTTACGGATTTGGAAGTCGTCTCTGTTCTGTTCGAGGAACTGTAATCCTTCCTCGTTACCAGCTACCACCTTGGCCCCAGTATACAGGTGGTTAGCTACCTAGATACAGTGATACAGTAGATACAGTAGATACAGGAGATACAGAGATAGATAGATACAAGATACAGAGATGCAGAGATAAAACGATACAGAGATGGATAGATACAGAGATAAAGGTATAAAGAAATACAGAAATACAGAAATGCTGATATACAAAGAGACAGAGATAGATAGATAGAAAGCTTAATAGATAGATATATAGATAGATATAGATAGATATAGATAGTTAGATAGATAGTTAGATAGATAGATATATATAGATAGATAGATAGTTAAATAGATAGATAGTTAGATAGATAGACTGAACAAAAAAGAAGGACCCTGGTTCTGATAAATAATAAGGTTAAAATTACCCTGCAGACTGGATTTGTGATATTGTGCTCCCGTCTACACCACTCCTCAGCTACCTAAACAATCAATCAATCAATCAATCAATCAATCAATCAATCAATAAAACAATGAATCAATCATAAAATCCACTAATTAATCAATTGATCAATCAATAAATGAACCAAATACACCAAAAAGATTAACTCGTCAATCAATGAATCAATGAACCTGTAATCCTAGGGGGAGTTTATTATCAGCTCCTATAAATACGGACATCATCCCGGATCTAAATATTTTATTGTAATAGGTTCTGTTTCCGTTTCCATTTCCACTCCTGTGACCGTTCCCGAGTTCGTTCCCGAGTCCGTTTGCGAGTCTGTTCCCGAACCCGTTCCTGTTTCTGTTCCCGATCCCGATCCCATTCCCGTTCCTATTCGGCTGTTCCTGTTCCCGTTTCTATTTTCATTCCTGTTCCAATTCCAATTCCCATACCTGTTTCTGTTCCCATTCTCATTCTCGTTTTCGTTCTTGTTCTCGTTCCCGATCTTTTTCTCTTTCCTTTTGCTGTTCATGTTCCTGTTCCCGTTCCCATTCCCGTTCCCATTTCCGTTCCTTTTCCAGGCCCTGTTCCCATTCCTTTTCCGTTTCCTGTTTCTGTTCCTGTTCCCTTTCCTGTTTCTGTTCCTGTTCCTTTTCCTGTTACTGTTCACGTTCCCGTTTCCGTTCCTGTTCCTGTTCCCGTTCCCGTTTCTATTCTCATTCCTGTTCCCATTCCCATTCCTGTCTTTTCTAATGTCTAATAGTAAATTATTTCTTAGTATGACTAGAAAAAAAATATTATACAGATAGTGCTGGAGTTCTTGTATCATGTCTGATGCCAAGTGTCTAGTATTTAATACCTAGTGAGTTGACTAGAAGCTTGCATCGCCTCTGCTCTGATTTTGACCAAGTTAATTCCCTAGAATTAGACAAAATATAATTAAGATAAATTCTTCAGAAGACTTGATTTTTAAACTTAAAGGGACTGTTCTAGTAATTTTAAGATTCACAATGGAACCTTTTAAACCTTTATCAAATAAAAAATACAACTATATTTTATAAATATATGATGTATATACCAACGAGGTTATAGAGTATAGAGTGATGATGTACGCTAATCCTTTACGCTATCTGGATGATTGTTTCATTATGACAATTATACATATTTACCTCCGGGAATGAAATAGCTCCTGTAAATATTAAAGCTGTGATTTCTCCAACAGAGAACCCAGCAACAGCCATACAGTTACTCACTGCTGTCTCCTGATAGGGAATAATCAGGAAATCAAAAAGGTTTGTTCTTATCCCAAAGGATCTTTATTGTTCTTAAGTTGAAGATTCATTTTACATTGATCAATGAACAATCAATGATCTATGATCAATGGTCAATGTACGACTTAGCATTGAAACAATGATCAATCAATGAAAAATCAATAATCAATTATAAATAATCAGTTAATAATCGATGAATTAATGAAATACCAATGATTTTTCAATAAATGATCAATGAGCGATTAATGAATGACCTCAAAAACCAATTACAATGAATAATAAACATGTTTGCACCTGTTGTTGATATAACAATTCTACTGCTGCTAAACTAGAAACTACTGTAGCAGGCTGGCAATAAACTGTCTCATCTGAAGTAAACAAAATTATGTTTTTTAGCAAGCGGCAACTACCCAAGGGTGTTTTCTCTGGTGGCAACTTCCTAAATTTGCAACTTCCCAAGTATCTCCTTGCCGCAGTACTCGAGCCTATTCAAGCTGCCCCCTAGCCCATTGTAGCGTGCAGCCTCTGGCGTCTCAGAGGGGTTAACCTAACTTTTGGGAAGTTGCCACTTAAGAAATGGAACATTTGGGAAGTTGCCGTTGGAAAAATGCCTTTGGGAAAGTACCCAACACCAACAAAATATCTTTACAAGGTTTTTTTTTTAGGAAAATCAACTTTTAATCCCTTCCTTCAAATACAATACTCCTTATTACTGGGGTTTATTTTTTCCTGAAAAATCCTTTTACAAAAAAGTTAATAAAAATTTTATTTTTTTTTCAATCAAACTAAAAAGTTGTAAACTTAAAAACTTTTTCTCATATTCTCAAATTAGCTTTTGTATTCTTCCAACAAAGGAATATAAATGATACAAATTGTCCCATTTGTTTTGGAATGACCATGCTCTGTTTCATTTTAAAATCCGTGAACCAAATATAAGGAATAGTGAGAGGTAGCTGAATCGGAAGATATATATTAACCACATCTCTTGTGTGCCAGTTCAAGTTGAAGAGAAGAAGTTGAACCACGTCTGCACAGTTCAACTCTCACCATTTGTTAAATCTAGGCCCATATCTATTAATGTCAAGTTGACACTGATTTACCTTTCTTCAAAGAGTATCTGAGAATCAATTAAAGTATTTAACTTAAAGTGCTGAACAAAAACTTTTATTTAATCTAAAAAAATACCGAGCGTGGATTTAGGTCCCCTCAGACAGAGTTCTAGCAGATCATAACCCAATATTTGGCTGAGGACAGTTTTATTTTACACCAAATTTTAATCAAGTTTTAATCAAATTTGACTAAAGTTTGAATCAAGTTTACACCAGATTTACACCAGATTTACACCAGTTTTACACCAATTTTACACCAATTTTACACCAATTTTACACCAGTTTCGCACTAGTTATACACCAGTTATACACTAGTTTTACACTAATTTTACAATTTTTGAACAATTTTTAATTGACAAAATATAAAATAAGCCTCCCTGGCATCATTATAAAGTTCTTTCACCGAAGGAACATCTGAAACAAAAAATCTAATTTTTAAACACCAAAAAATGGTCATTTTTCATAGGAGAAACTTTTTAATATTAAAACTATTCAGTCTAAAAATTTTAAATTTTGATAATAAATACAAATTTCAAATTTCTCAAAAAGATCAACAACATTCTAAACTTAATATGAAGTCATCAGTAACTGACAGTTTGCAAAAGACTTTCTCAAAATAAATATTTTCCGATAAAATACCCAATTATCTGAACAGTAGAGATGGGCGTGTTTGGCTTTTTAATCATCTTGTTTGTTCATCATTCGTGAATGACCCATTTCATTTTCTTTTCAATGAATCAAAAACAAATTTTCCGTCTATTTCGTTTGTTTTCTCACTTAAAAAATGTTCAGTAAAATTTGTTGTTCAGTAAAAACGTTTGTTCAATATATTCATTCATTCAGTAAAAAAAGTTATTTTTTAAAAAGTTTTTTAAAAACTTGTTCGTTCAGTAAAAACACCATCGTAGTTTTTGAAAAAGTTTCATACTAAACATTATTGATTCATTATAAAACAAACGGTTTTTTAAATTCTTTGGAAAATTTGTTCATTCAGTTAAAAAATGAGCAAAAAAAACAAGGGCTTTTTAATTTCTCTGAAAAATCAAAGTCGTTCGTCCATCATAAGTTTTTTTTTCACAAAAAATTTGTTCATTTTCAAAATTTTTGTTTGCTCAAAAAAGAGATGCCCATCTCTACTGAACAGTCCCTTTAAAAGGAAACAAGATTGACAAAAGATATAAATACTATTACCAAGAAGCTTCTGCCCCATTCCAACAAACTGCATTCCTTGCCCAGGGAACAGGATAACTGATTTATCACTCAGGTCTAAACGGAAATTTTACGTAAAAATTTTGTAAATAAAACGTAAATTATGTAATTTGACAAAATGAAAGTTTTTTTTGGGAAAATTTTTTAATTTTCTGGTAATCCCCTTAAAGGTATTAATTATGACTTGTACAAAAAGGACCAATATAGGTGACTCAAATCAAATCAAATCAAATCAAATCAAATCAAATCAAATCAAATCAAATCAAATCAAATCAAATCAAATCAAATCAAATCAAATCAAATCAAATCAAATCAAATCAAATCAAATCAAATCAAATCAAATCAAATCAAATCAAATCAAATCAAATCAAATCAAATCAAATCAAATCAAATCAAATCAAATCAAATCAAATCAAATCAAATCAAATCAAATCAAATCAAATCAAATCAAATCAAATCAAATCAAATCAAATCAAATCAAATCAAATCAAATCAAATCAAATCAAATCAAATCAAATCAAATCAAATCAAATCAAATCAAATCAAATCAAATCAAATCAAATCAAATCAAATCAAATCAAATCAAATCAAATCAAATCAAATCAAATCAAATCAAATCAAATCAAATCAAATCAAATCAAATCAAATCAAATCAAATCAAATCAAATCAAATCAAATCAAATCAAATCAAATCAAATCAAATCAAATCAAATCAAATCAAATCAAATCAAATCAAATCAAATCAAATCAAATCAAATCAAATCAAATCAAATCAAATCAAATCAAATCAAATCAAATCAAATCAAATCAAATCAAATCAAATCAAATCAAATCAAATCAAATCAAATCAAATCAAATCAAATCAAATCAAATCAAATCAAATCAAATCAAATCAAATCAAATCAAATCAAATCAAATCAAATCAAATCAAATCAAATCAAATCAAATCAAATCAAATCAAATCAAATCAAATCAAATCAAATCAAATNCTTAGCATGGAGGGTCCCTTGAAGTTATGCTTCAGTTCCTTCATATTAACAAAGTATAATTACTAAACTGACCTAACGGACTTTCATCGTATGATACTTCAGCATTGTCTAAATACTCGTGGGAAGCACTACTGGAGTTTACGAAACCTTTCTCTGAACCGTTTGAATCACTGGAGAACCTTTCCATACCGTTCAAATCACTGCAGAGGAAAACTATTCTTTTCCAACTTTCAAACAAAATGGGAAATGCAATGGGAATGCAATAATAAAAGAGGGAGTTTAACATTGCATTGGCTTCCCTCGAGATGTTTGAAAACCCAACAAGGTCTTTGGAAGCCTTAGCAGTGTTTTATTCCCTGCAATATTTATTGCTGCCCTATTACCTCCCTAAAATGAAGAGATCAATAATTTTTAAGTTCTACACATATAAGAAGGTAAAAATAGTTGATACCACAATATTAAAAATCGAGAAAATGTTTTGAATAAAATTTAAACAATTTTCTTATAACTTTCTGTATAAAACAAATTTTTGTTGTCAAAAATATTTTCCTGTTCCTGTGAAGGAGTCTGTACTGTTTGAGACCCACTTGGGCATCTGTTAATAATCTTCCTGATCTTAGGAAACAGGAGACAAACATTATATCTGAATAATTCAGCAGTTCATCAATGATTTATCTTATTAAACAGGAAATAAACATTTCATCTGAATAATTCAGCAGTTTATCAATGATTTATCTTAGTAAACAGGAGACAAACATTTTATCTAAATAATTCAGCAGTTTATCAATCATTGATCTTAGTGAACAGGAGACAAACATTTATCTGAATAATTCAGCTATTAAAAAATCATTCATCTTTGTTATCAATTTATCAATTGATAAAAAAATTGATTAGTATCTTGGAAAATTGATAAGAGAGTTAACAAACCGCTCTGATAGCAAATCAATTGAGTAGTTGTTAAAAATAAATTGATTTATCAAGTTAATTACCTAATTAATTAATTAATTAACAAAATATTAAATTAACAAAATTATTTATTGTCAAAAATTATTCAATCGGACAACTCAAACTTAATCTTTATCAAGATATTAATATTTTTAACATAAGGTATAATTAAATTAAAATGGTTTAAATGCAAATGTTACAAAAAAAAAATTTACAAAAGTTTGGTCTCTAGCTGGGAATATATAGCAATGAAAAAGACAACAAAATGGAGAGAATAATATTCAAATTAATAATTTATAAAGAATATTGATCCAATCACAGTTTTTAGCATTCAGAAGGAAGAGATAGTGCAGTTGTTCTTCTTATTGCTTATTTTTGAAAAAAAATCTATAAAAAAAATTTGATTGGGGTCCAACATGCTATTTCAAAAAAACTACATTTTTAATATGGTCTTTTGTGTTTATTAAATGCCCTTCCCATCCTTTTGCTAAGAATTTTCTGAACTCTAGTGTTTACTCTTTGACCTCTAATTAGGCCTCTCTAACTGGTATAAAGTGCTGATAATAACTCTTGGTGAAATCAATCATTTTGTCCTGAAAAAAATAATTTTATTTTTCATTTGTGAGTTATTTTTGTTGTTGATTTCATTTGTAGAATTTGTAATACATGCATAGTATATACAGTATGGACGGTATGTACGGTATGCATAGTATGGACGGTATGTAACATATGGACAGTATGCATAGTTTGGACGGTATGTACAGTATGGACGATAGGCATGGTATGTACAGTATGGACAATNTGATAATGATAATGATAATGATAATGATAATGATAATGATAATGATAATGATAATGATAATGATAATGATAATGATAATGATGAAAGGTAAGGGTTGTGTCAGGTCCCTTTATGAAATGTGGAGTTTCAATTTACTCTGATTTATACAATTTTAGAATTTTTTCATAAATTGGCCTGGATTGAAAAAAAGGTTCCTACAAATTGTTAATTTATCGCGATGATTCCAGCAGCTGACCAAATCTGAGCTATGCCTGAATTTTGCGGTACCTAACAGAATTTAAATAACAATACCCCCTATAAATAAAATTCTTATTGGGTTTTATATTAATAATAGTTTTGAATCAATTAATTGATCTACCTTCTTCTGCTGTAAGGACTGGGGGATCTCCTGTAATCCCAACAGGATCTCCCCTTTCACAATCCCTAGCTCTGGATCCAGCCGTAGGTCTTCCCATATACATTAGAGTGACAATATATCATCTGTACAACTTCAAACGATCCAATTTGATGTTGGACAGTGGACACCCTGTATCTTGACTTGAGATGCATGGAAGCTTGGTAGGAACCTTTGGTAGGGTATCCTCCTCATCATCTGACGGTAAAACACCTTTCTGCTCCACCAGTAAAGCATTGTTCTTCCTGTTGATCTTCTTGATGCCATTTTTGGTAATCTTAAAATTTTTAAAATATTTTCCTGTTGGTAAGATATATCAGGAAAACATTTCAAAAATTCTAAAAGCGCCAAAAAAAGTTTTCTATCACGCAGGGCGCAGCGTGCGGCCTAAGCTGAGATTTTTAAGTACAGCCCGACCTAACATAAACTTAAACTAGCTAGGTGCCGGTTTTCTTTAAAACAAAGTCTAACTAAAACGTGAGTCTTAAATGACAATGACAATGCCAAAGCCAAAGCCAATATATTATCTGTACAACTTCAAACGATCCAATTTGATGTTGGACACCCTGTATCTTGACTTGAGGTACACGACAGTTATAACATCAAGCTTGGTAGGAACCTTTGGTAAGGTATCCTCCTCATCATCTGACGGTAAAACACCTTTCTGCTCCATGGGTGGAGCAATTTTCTTCCTGTTGATCTTCTTGATGACATTTTTGGTACTTTTAAATTTTTTTAAATATTTTCCTGATGGTAAGATATATCGGGAACATATCTAAAAACTTCTAAAAGCTCAAAAAAAAAAATTTCTATCATGCAGGGCGCAGCGTGCGGCCTAAGCTGAGATTTTAAAGTACAGCCCGACCTAACATAAACTCAAACTAGCTAGGTGCCGGTTTTCCCTAAAACAAAGTCTAACTAAAACTCGAGTCTTAAATGACGACAACGATAACGATTACGATTACGATAACGATAACGATAACGATAACGATAACGATTACGATTACGATTACGATACCGATAACGATAACGATAAAGATAACGATAATGATAACGATAATGATAACGATAACGATAACGATAATGATAACGATAACGATAATGATAACGATAACGATAACGATAACGATAACGATAACGATAACGATAACGATAACGATAACGATAATGATAATGATAATGATAATGATAATGATAATGATAATGATAATGATAATGATAATGATAATGATAATGATAATGATAATGATAATGATAATGATAATGATAATGATAATGATAATGATAATGATAATGATAATGATAATGATAATGATAATGATAATGATAATGATAATGATAATGATAATGATAATGATAATGATAATGATAATGATAATGATAATGATAATGATAATGATAATGATAATGATAATGATAATGATAATGATAATGATAATGATAATGATAATGATAATGATAATGATAATGATAATGATAATGATAATGATAATGATAATGATAATGATAATGATAATGATAATGATAATGATAATGATAATGANACCACACTCCCTTCTCCTAGATAAGTTTCCCAATATATATAGGAACTCAGGATATAGCAGCATTCACTTCCTTCTCCTAGATAAGTTTCCCAATATATATATATTGGAACTCAGGATAGCAGCATTCATTTCCTTCTCCTAGATAAGTTTCCCAATATATATATATAGGAACTCAGGATATAGCAGCATTCACTTCCTTCTCCTAGATAAGTTTCCCAATATATATATTGGAACTCAGGATAGCAGCATTCATTTCCTTCTCCTAGATAAGTTTCCCAATATATATAGGAACTCAGAATAGCAGCATTCACCACACTCCCTTCTCCTAGATAAGTTTCCCAATATATATAGGAACTCAGGATATAGCAGCATTCATTTCCTTCTCCTAGATAAGTTTCCCAAAATATATATTGGAACTTAGGATAAAGCAACATTCACATATGCAAAGGGATGAAATCAAAAGAATTCACTTTATGAGCTAGAAAACGACCAGTTTTGCCAAATACTGATCAAATCAAGGTGTAAAGGATAGCATTGTGAATAGGACATGCCCCTCTGTAAACGGAAGGTCACTTTGAATAATAAAATCAAATAAAATCAGAATATATAAATAAACCAGAGCTGGGAACTTTTGAATGATGGTATCAGGATTAATGCTTTATCTCTTTTTAAAAAATGCTTGTTCTCCTCTTGTTTTTATCTCCAGATTAATTAACCGATTCTGAATAATTCTAAATAAATGAATAAATGAATAAACGAACAAAAAAACAAATGACGAAACGAACAAATGAAGCAGCGAACAAATGAACAAGCGAATAAATAAAAATAAATGAATAAATTAATATAAATGAATAAATAAATTCACCTATATAAACATGATCTCCTATCTGCAAAGGGAAAAATGCAACCCCTTTGCTGAACTTCTTGAATGGCGGCCTAAAATAAAGTTTTATGATGTAATTAGGCAGTACGGTACAGTACAGTACGGTACTTTACATCGATACAGTACAGTACTCTACTGTACATCGGTACATTACAGTACGGTACAGTACAGTACGGTACAGTACAGTACGGTACAGTACAGTACGGTACAGTACAGTACGGTATAGTACAGTACGACACAGCACAGTTCGGTTTAGTACAGTACGGTACAGTACAGTACAAAACGGTGCAGTACAGTATAGTATGGTACAGTATGGTACGGTGCAGTACAGACCGGTACAGTACAGTACAGTACGATACAGTACAGTTCAGTACGGTACAGTGCAGTACGGTACAGTACAGTACGGTACAGTACAGTACAGTACGGTACAGTACAGTACGGTACAGTACAGTACGGTACAGTACAGTACCCTACAGTACAGTACGGTACATTACAGTACGGTACAGTACAGTACGATACAGTACAGTACGGTACAGTGCTGTACAGTACAGTGCTGTACAGTACAGTTCTGTACAGTACAGTACGGTACAGTAAAGTACGGTACAGTAAAGTACTTACGATACAGTACAGTACGATACAGTACAGTACGATACAGTACAGTACGATACAGTACAGTACGATACAGAACAGTACGATACAGTACAGTCCGATACAGTACAGTACAATACAGTACAGTACGATACAGTACAGTACGATACAGTACACTACGGAAAAATAAAGTACGTTACAGCACAGTACGGTTCAGTACAGTACGGTACAGTACAATAAAGTACAGTATGATACAGTACGGCACAGTACAATACAGTGTAGTAGAGTAGTGAAGAGCAGAGTCGAGTCGAGTAAAGTACAGTACAGTAGAGTAGAGTAGAGTAGAGTACAGCACGGTTTATTTACTAACCTAAGTACTGCTTTACTGGAGATAATACAGTGCCTCCCAACTCTTACATTTGCTAGATCTCCTCTAATAATTGCATCTCCCTCGACTATATTCTAAACATAATTATTGCATCTCCCACAACTATATTCTAAACATAATAATTGCATCTCCCTCCACTATATTCTAAACATAATAATTGCACCTTCTTCAACTATATTTTAAACATAATAATTGCATCTCCCTCAACTATATTCTAAACTTAATAATTGCATCTCCTTCCACTATATTCTAAACATAATAATTGCATCTTCCTCCACTATATTCTAAACATAAATATTGCATCTTACCCAACTATATTCTAAACATAATAATTGCATCTTTCTTAAACTATATTCTAAACATAATAAGTGCAACTTTTAATAGAATTTTTATTATTTCCAGTTAATAAATAAAAATTTATTTTTACTATCCATACTACTTAAGAACAACATTTAGAGGAGCACAGGTCGCCATTAAATTACTAAGCCATTATAACGATGCTACATAAACTGAAAAATTTCGCATTTTTACCCATTTGATCGCATTCGTTTGATCGCAAAAAATGAGAAAATTTACCCTTTTTTCGCGAAATTCGGCTTTAATCTTTTTTTTGCGAAAAAATGCGAAGTTTTTGCTAAATAAAAAACCGAAATTTTTCGCATTTCATTCGATCGCGAAAAATGCAAATATTTTCGCTTTTTTCCGCAAAATTTTGCTTTACTCTGTTTTGCAAAAAAATTTGGCGAAAAAATGCGAAAATTTCGCGAAAAAAAATGCGAAAATTTTCGCTTAATATAAAATGCGAAGATTTTGGGAAAACAAAATGCAAAACTTTTACGAAAAAAATACTGAAGAAAATTATTAATTTTATGCCGAACTACAAAAAATAAGAAAACGTCGTCTTCGAAATTAAAATATATGTCGTCTTAACTATTTTAAATTTTATGAAAACTACCTTTCCATTAAGAATAATATTCTGTGAACCACAGAGTACACTGGCTCTAGAAACTCTAAATATATATATATATTTAATAATTTTATAATTCAATTCTTACAAAATATAATATGTTCTTTAAAGGCCCCTGAAACAAGAACTATTGCTGGTAAAACAAGCTAAAATTCGAGAATATAATATTTTAAAATAATTCCGACAGATTTGACAATTTGTTAACCTTTATTAATCTTTTACGGAGAAATTGATAAAACACTGTTAGGTTTAAAGGGAGTGTTCGCGAAAAATGAAAGGGGGTATAGGCTTAATGCGATAAAAAAGCGCTTTTGAACGCTACTAATCTTACTTCTATCTGTTGCGTCTATAAGTAGAAAATTGATAAAGACGTCTTATACCGAAGAGCGTAGCGCCCATACAAATTGAGGAAGTTGGAAAATGCGAAAAAATCAAATTAATATCAAACAATTTCAATTCAATTCAATTCAATAAATTATTTAATTTCAAACAAATCATTCAGATATTACAACCTATAGTCATCGATTATCTTCCGCCACATTTTTATATATTTGATATTTCATACTAGTTTTGATTTTGTTTTTTAAAATAATATTTAGCTTACAACTTGTTTTCGAATATTCCTGGAAAATATGAAAATGTCGTCTTCATTACCAAAAATCCTCGAAACAGGAATAAATGTTTTTATAAGTATCTCTCAGATCATAACAATTAAAACATATTATGAAAAATCAACTATATATAACTATATATATAAGATAATCGATGACTATAAGTTGTAATATCTGAATGATTTGTTTGAAATTAAATTGATTTTTTTTACGGTCTAAGTCGTATGTTGCAATTTTCTCAATTTGTATGGACGCCATGTTATTCGGTATGAGACGTTTTTAACAATTTTCTCCTAATAGACGCAACAGATAGAAGTAAGATTAGTAGCGATCAAAAGCGCTTTTTTTATCGCATTAAGCCTATACCCCCTTTCATTTTTCGCGAACACTCCCTTTAAAGCTGATCTAATGAAACGCCAAAGGAGGTTGCTTTTTCAGAAGTAGGGCATGGCACACTTAGTAAACAAAATACTATCTATAATACAGTTTTATCATAATTACCAGCTTGGGAACCCAGCTTTGCATAGAAATTGAACTTTAACTATGTAAAAGTCAACCCACTTAATTTCAGTTTTTAAGCAAGATAATATCAGACCCGTATTCCTACCGAGTAAACCTATAGATTTGAGTGACTGGCTTCATGAGTTTTGATCAGACATACAAACAGAGATTAGTACTTTATATATCTATATATATAAAGTTGTAATACCTGTTTATTTGTTTGGTTGTTCGATCATAACTCAGTAACCCTTTGACCGATTTGTCTCAAATTTTAATTTTGAGATTCTAAGATTTTAAGATAAATTAGCTAAAATCTTAATTTGCGACCAAGCGCGGGCTTACAACGGGATTAACCATGAGTATTGAGTACACTGGGCAACGCTGGGTTCCCAAGCTAGTATACATATATGATATAAACAGTGCTTCTAAATTCAATCCCAAAAAAATAATTATAATTAATTCCAGGCGCGAAGTGGGGGGGGGGCCGGTACCCAGGTATGATTGGTAATAATGGTCAGATGACTAATAGTCAGCCTTCAGGTATATTAAAATAGATTTTAAACTTTAAAGTGCACCCCCCTAGGCTAAACCTCCACTACGCGCCTGATTAATTCTAAAAATAAATCCATTTCAATCTTCGCAAACACTCCCTTTAATGAGACAATAAATATATATATATATACCTGTTCCCACTTGCAGTTTCTATATACTCAGCTTTATTAAACGGAATGTCAGGAAGTTCCATTTTTCTGAAAAAAAAGAAGAGATTTCGTAATTTTTTCTTCTTCACAATTTCTTTTAATAAAACGCATTTTACTGGTTGTTTAGTCAGTATTTCGGCCGTCTGGCCGTTTGTTGTTGATCTATTTGGAAACCCAGACAAATCCACGTTGAAATCCATGATTTTCATCTTTTCCTAATAAGACATGAATCCACCTACCAGGGTCACCTATACAGTCAAACAAATACAACTGTGGAATAGGACTCAAGTTCCTCTACCTGACCCCGTCTCTCCTGTAGAACCCACCTACCAGGGTCACCTATACAGTCAAACAAATACAACTGTTGAATAGGACTCAAGTTCCTCTACCTGACCCCGTCTCTTCTGTAGAACCCACTTACCAGATTCCCATTACAGTCAAAAAAATACAACTGTGGAATAGGACTTGTTGCGCCACGGTTTCGTCACTTTGTCACGTTCTATAAATTCCCTCGCCCCTGAGTTCTTCACGAGAAAGATGTGAAACCCCTGAAGTCGAGGGGGGAACAAGTCTGTAGAGCAGCAGCAAAACCAGTTTTTGATTGTAAAATTTACTTTAGATTTATACTGTATCCGCCATTTCTCGTCAGTTATATTTGATATTTTGATACTGATAGATATTGTTGTGATCTGTATATGGCACATTAAAGTACTGCTATACACAGTCAAACAAATACAACTGAGGACTCAAGTTCATTTAAAGTACCGCACTGACTTTAAAGGAAATGTAACCGTAATATTAAGTGACCTTACATGCAAAGATGGCAATGCCCGATTCACCTTTATCTAATCAAGAATAAGGAACATATTGTCTTTTATCAGATGCAAGAGTGTTAAATTGTGATAATTCCTTTATTTTTCCCGCAGTAGAGATAGCACAATTGAAAAAAATAATAATTTTTCAAAATATTAAACATTTTTATCTTATTCATTCCGCTGTGAATAGGGCATTGTAATTTTTGGTCTCATGAATTTACGCTTACAGTCCCTTTAAGGCAGCAAGTTATACAGTGGGCTCAGTACATTTGCCATATTCACACCATAATACGATTGCAATAAGTAACACTTGCCATAATACGATTGCAATAAGTAACAAACACTTGCCATAAGTTACACTTGCTATAATGGTTACACTTGCTATTATTACAATTTATTATAGTTATAATTAACATCCATACACTTTTTTATTGAACAACTACAATTCAAATCAAATCAAATCAAATCAAATCAAATCAAATCAAATCAAATCAAATCAAATCAAATCCTCAAACTTTTGTGACTACAATTAACAAATAAATCTAAACAAAGGATAGCTCATGAGCATTATATAAGGTTAAGCTACAGCTCTATTGGAAAAGTATTGTATTGTCAATGACAACTAAAGTTGGGAATTTTCATGAGAAGATTGTTCGCATTTTTAGAAAAAATATTTGGATTTATATCTTTGTAAAAGTTAGAAAATTATTTATGGAAAGTGTAATTATGGCAAATGTATTTATGGGAAGTGTAATTATGGCAAATGTATTTATGGGAAGTGTAATTATGGCAAATGTATTTATGGGAAGTGTAATTATGGCAAATGTATTTATGGGAAGTGTAATTATGGCAAATGTATTTATGG